AGATCAGTACATTTCCAGCCTTCGGGTCGACAGTCAAATGGCAGGATATTGGAGGATCTTATCATCACAGATGTACTTCATGTACCAGATCTTGCCAATAATCTTTTATCTGTCCTTACCCTCACAACAAAGCGAGCTTTCACCGTTGTGATCTGCAGCTCCAAATTGTCTTTTATTCAGAATCACAAAACTCTTTTCACTGCAACCGTTGACTTGTTAACAACTGGGACAGTCGTTGTCCCCAATGTATCATCCAATATATCTGCCATTCATGGAACAGTCATTGACCGCAACCTTCTTCATAAACGCCTATGCCATCTTGGCCACGATTGCCTTGAAAGATTCATTGAAGAAGATTTAGCATCGGATACTGTCCTCACATCAGATGCTCCTCTCAACAACATCTGCAAATCATGTATAGCTGGAAAGCAACACCAGCACCCATTCCCTCATATTGCTGATAGAGCAACTAGTGCTCTAGATTGCATTTTTAGTGATGTCCATGGTCCCATGAGTGTATGGAACCGCTCCGGGAAACGTTATTGGATCACATTTATTGATGACGCATTCCGTTGGATGGAAGTCTATGATATAGCCAAGAAAAGTGATGTCTTTGGAGCATTCAAACTCTTCAAGGCTCTTGTGGAAAAGCAGACTGGCCGGAAAATCAAATGTTTCCACATTGATCAAGGGGGCAAGTTTACCCTCAAGGAATTCATTGAGTTTCTTATGGCAGAGGGCATTCAAATTGAGTTTACGACATGTGCTACTCCACAGCAAAATGGAGTTGTTGAATGGAATAATTGGACTATGGCTGAAGCACTTACCTCAATGCTTGATGAAGTGAACCTCCCAATGAGCTTCTGGGGTGACGCTCTCAATGTATTCTGCCATGTACACAACTATTCTCCAACGGCCGCTCTTCTGAAAGGTTCTACACTGTACAGTGGTTTCAAGGGCAGAAAACCTTGCTGTGGCCATCTCTGCATTTTCGGCTGCCATGTGTATGTCCTCATTGGTCGAGATAAGCGCAAGAGTTTGCAAGGTCATACAATCAAGGGCATCTTCATTGGATACCCTTCAAATCATGCTGGTTGGAAGGTTTATGATCCAATTTCAAAGAAGACCTACATCTCGCGTGATGTTATATTCAATGAATCCTGGTTTCCTGGTACCTCAACTAAATCGTCTTCCTTGAACTCTGATCTCACTCCACCCCTTGCCAATTTCATGGAACTCCCAGAATATGAAGACCTGTTTGACGATGACAAGCCTGTTTTCCCATCTGCTTTAAATGCACCTTCTGACGATTTGCCTTCTTTGGTGGGAGCTGATTCTCCTCCACCTGCACATCATTGCTGTGAACATGCTCTTCCTCCTCCTCCTTTTGAGCTCCCTAGTGTTTAAAGGTTCAGTCCATAGGACCACAAAAAACCAGTGAACCGAACTGAACCAGACCATGGTCTGGTCTTTTATTCAGTTGCAGTTGCCCCAATTTGGGGTTGGTCCGGTTGCCAGTTGCCTCATTTCGAAAATCTTTTAAAACTGTTCAAAGACTGGTTTTAATTGGTTGCAACCAGTTAAACAGTCACGTGCATTACATAACCTTGTAACCACGTTTATTACCTTTTATTGGGTTTTTGTTTCATCAAAAATGGTTAAGAATTGAGAAGATATAACCAAATCCATATTTTACCCGAGTCTATAGGAGATGTAATTCAGTTTCAGTCATAGCTGTGTCAAATCTTCATTAAATCTCTTAAAAAATTGGTAGAATGATGGGTATTTACATGCTTTACTATTTTATATAATCTGTTTATTTTTCAGAGTAATAATGGTTGAGATACAAATGGTTTATATTGGTATAATAAATTATACACAAAAAAACCGGTCTGGATCAGTCTGAACCAGCTCCATAGACTGCAAAAGACTGGTCCTAGGTGGTTTGGTTTGGTTCCCTCAATATCTGGGCTGGTCCTAGACTGGTTGTGGTCCATGGTTGTGCATTTTGGGGGCAAAAAACCGGACTGAACTGAACTTGCGAACACTAGAGCTCCCTACTGGCCCTTGCACTTGCAAACCTGCCCAGAGATATGAGGACTATTATTCCTCAATCCAGCATCAAGCAGATGCTAAAGACTGCATAACCTTGTGCCCAATGTTCCTGCTCCAGCCCTTCCCATCCTTGTTAACAATGATGCTGATAAGCTGCTTTGGGATGCATCTGTTGGCCCCACTGATGAATTTGGCAAGCAGGAGGTGAATTTCAACCTCAATCTTGTGTCTGATGAAGCTCTCATGATGGCTGGATGTACATTCATCGAGAATGGAACCAATTCGGGGGGATACAGTGCTTTTTCCACGACATTGCAATCATCTACCTGTGCAATGAAAGTTGGCGCCCATGACACCAATCCATGCAACTATTGAGAAGCCATGAGAAGTGATCACTCTGAGGAGTGGTACACTGCGATGTGTTTGGAGATGAACACAATTGAGAGGAACAGCACCTGGCGCATTGTATATCTTCCTGCCGGAAAGAAGTCAATTGGCTCATGTTGGGTGTTCAAGGTTAAACACCTTCCAGACGGCACCCTCAATAAGTTCAAAGCTTGTGTAGTTGCTCAAGGCTATAGTCAATGCCCTGGTGTCGACTTCAATGAAACCTTCACACTGACAGCAGGCTGGAATGCTATCTGCAACATTCTTGCTCTTGCAGCAGTCAAGGATATGCACCTAGAGTCGGTTGACATTAGCACCACATTTCTGCATGATGTTATGCCTGAAGAAATGGAGATTTATATGAATCTCCCTGATGGATTTCCTGCCCATCCTGTACCTGACACTGTCAAATACCCTGGAGATGGATGGCCAGTCGCTCGCCTTTTAAAAGGTCTTTACAGTCTCAAGCAGGGTGCATATCTTTGGCATAAGCAGATAAATGAGGTCTTCATCAAGATCAGATTTGTGTGCATGGTCTCAGATCCTTGCATATACATCTACCTACATGATAAGATCTGCATCATAATTCCTGTCCACGTTGATGACATGACAATCACATCAGCATCATGGCTGGCCATTCTCAAAGTCATCAACCAACTTCGTGAGTACTTCAGTCTCAATCATCTTGGACCAGCAGTCGGCCTTCTTGGTGTGTGCCTCACCCATGATCACCCTAACTGCAAACTCTGGATCAACCAATGTGCTTATGCTATTGACCTTCTTTCGTGCTTCAACATGCTTGATTCCAATGTGGTAACTACTTCCATGGACCCTAACATAAAGCTCAGAAAGTCCCAGTCCCCACAAACATCACAGGAGGTCGAAGAAATGAGCCAGATACCCTATATACAAGCCACAGGAGGCTTGCTCTATCTGGCTCTCGCAACATGTCCTGACATTGTGTATTCAGTGGGAGTCCTATGTCATTTTAACTCCAATCCCAGGCTTGACCATTGGAAGGCTGTTAAACACCTTCTCCACTATATACGTGGGACCTTGGATTATCAGATCGAGTACTCCACCATTGCCTCTACACCTGCACCAACATTTTTCAATGCATTTTCCAATGCTGATCATAGTGTTTGCAGGTCCAGTCTACAGGACTGAAAATATACATAGGACTGAACTGGACTGAACCACAGTCTGGTCTTTTTCCAGTTGCAGTTGCCCACATTTGTGGTCAGTCCAGTTGCCAGTTGCCATGTTTTTGTAAATATTTAAAAACCGAAAAAGACCGGTTTAGACCGGTTTCAACCAGTCTTTTGTCCCATCACGTGTTGGAGCCTACTCGCACACATTTTTACTTAATTTTAGGTCCCCCAATCATCAAAAATGGTCAAGAATTGGTTGAGATATGGCCAAAAACATTTTTATATGCAATTTGAATGTATATCCTTTCCGTTTTTGCCATATCTCAGTCAAATCTTCACGGAATTGCTTAAATTTTTGATCAGTCTATGGAGAATTAAAATATCTATCTACGTATGCAATTTACGTGAGGTAATATTTAGTTTCTGTGGTGTAATAAATTTTACGACAAAAGACCAGTTGCAACTGGTCTGGACCGGTCTTTTTCGCATTATGGACCGATTAGGACCGGTCTAAAGCGGTCCGGTTGCAGTCCCTTAATATCTGGATCGGTCTAGACCAGTTGCGGTTGCCAGTTGCCTTGTTTTGAGGTAAAAAACCGGACTTAACTGGACTTTAAAACACTAGCTGATCATGGCGGTAATCTTGACAACAGCCAATCTACTACTGGAATGCTACTCATGGTTGCTGGTGGCACTGTTAGCTGGAGCAGCAAAATCCAAACCATTGTTGCTATTAGCTAACTCCACAACCGAGGCTGAGTTTATTGCTGCCAGCAAAACCAGGCGAGAGCTTTGCTGGATGCAAAATTTCCTTGATGAAATTGGCATGACACAAGTTGGTCCCTCAGATCTCAAAATGGACAACAATTCCGTGATCTCTGTCTCAAAGCAACCTGAACATATGGGAAGGCTCAACTTCACCTCGACTGCCATTGGTTTTGGCTGCGACAGGCTGTCTACAATAGGAAGATAATTCCATCTTATATCCCTACTGCTGAGATGGCAGCAGATATTCTCACAAAGGCAGTTACTCGAGACCTTGTCGAGAAGTTTAAGCACATGATGGGGGTCATTGGGGAGTGGTCCAAGGAGCCGCTGCAGTGATATTGTCTGGGACATCATCGGGTGGGAGTGTTGAGCATTATGATTTGTCCCACTGTGCCCATATGGACCCACTCTTTTCACACATGACCTACCGTAGTTCACTATCATCTGTTTACTTCAGATCTTGTATCTAATGTACACAGATGACAGGTGAGTAATATTGTTTTTACTTCAGATCTTGTATCTAACATACATGGATGACAGTCCGTTTATAAACTACACTCTTCAGTGTTCCCATTGGATCCCACTGTCTTGGGAGTTCCTCAAGCTGTCTCTCCCTGTGCGAAATCCAACACATTCAACTCATACCACCATTGTCCAAAGACCTCTGAATAAACCCAATGTAGAGTTGGCTGTCAACATGGCAGTAGGGCCACCAGCAAGTACAACCAGCATGTACCGCTCCATGTGTGTCTCCACGTCCACGATGGTTTCCTCTGAGATGCTCTTCACCTTTCCTGACGTGGGTGTTAGGGAAAGCATGAGCAAGTGAAGGTGTTCACATTCTGGATAGCTCCTAGTGATGATGCTCCATGGTCGGGTACTAGAGCTTGGAGTTTGTCAGTCCATAGGTAGCTTGATGTGTGTTTGACAGCTGCTCCGAAATCGGCTGGGGGGTGGGAAATGCCTGAGAGATGGATTTGAAAGTTGGAAGGGTGTGGTTCCCATTAAGGGGTGTTATGGAAGAGGCCAGAGAGCCTTGGATGAGGTGAGCAGCAGGGAAATGGTGATGAAAGGCCAGAATAGCATTTCAAAGTGTGGAAGCAAGTTGGAGTTGGAAGGCCATCAAGCCTTTATAAGAATTACTCAGAAGTTGGAAGCTTCTCAAATTCTCAATGCATCCAACATCATATGGCCAACAAAAAATCCACAAAAATGGGGCACTTGGCCTATCATTCTGCCTTCAGCTATAAAAATGGGGGCTATGTCCCTGCCTCTGTTGTGCCTCTGCTGGCGAGATTTGAGAATTTGGGAAGCAATCCTGGGCTGGATCGGGAAAGAGGGAGTGTCACATCATCCTGCTCAAATTAGTACTCCTCAATTTGGTTATTTTGTACTGTGTAATAATTTTATTCTCTTTTAAAACATCTGACTAATAAAGTGTGAAGGTCAAGGTTGAGAGGATGATGAGTGTTTGGCAAGTGTCCTGTAATATCTGGCCACAAGACATGAAGCAGCGATGAATCCAAGAAGAACTGCAACCAGCAAGGAGCTGGAGAGTTGGCTGAGGCAGTTTGTTGGGCTTGTGCAGGGCTTTCAAGTGGCCAAGTTTGAAATGGGGGCAATGAGTTTACTCACTAATACATAAAACTCTCAAAGCAACAGCTTGAATTGCCTGACTCTATTCAAGTGTCAAGGCACCATAGTGGTGTCCATTCACACCCAGGTGTGTCCCACATCTCTCTGCTCCACATCAACATCTCTCACATTTCAGCCTGCTTGATGACATAGTTGAGCAAGTCTTCCTGCATTTCGGAAATGGCAGCTTTTTCAATTGCAGATCTCAAGGACTCATCCAACAGGGTGAGAGGGGGAGAAATCCATGTAGCATCAAGTTTCCTCTGTGCCCTGGACATGAAGAACTTGCAAGTGCCAGGCCTTGGAGAAACATCAATAGCCAAGGGGGTGGCGGAACGTGGAATTTACATATACAGTCGCAAGAAGAATTAAGGCCCTAGTGCTCAACCCCCCCTCCCCTTACCCCCCCAAATCCGGTATGTTCTTCCCACCCTCCTATGTTTTTCCTGGAAGGAACCATCAGTTATTGACAGCTGTTACCTCCAAACCTCATTTACCAATGACAGCGACGACCTTCTGTGGTTCTCCATGCTCATCGAACTCGTCGACTGACCCAGCGCCATGCCAACCACCTATGCGCCCGACGTTGACTCCATCACTTTCAGGGTGTCACGCCCAGGAAATGTCTGTAAGCGCCACACACATCAGGCCTCAGGACATACGCAAGGTATCGAAAATTACTGACCGAATATGTGTGCAACTTACCAAATCAAGCTCCAAGGGTGCTCTGGTAGTGTTGCAGACCATGTGAATGGATTTTATTAGAGAAGGTCACAAAAAAATTTAAGGCCTCTGACAGATGCCCCCCCCCCCCCAACCCTATATCTGGGATCCACATTCCGCCACCCCCTTGTCAATAGCATGATTATATGCTAAAAAAAAATTATTGCATGCATAGCACAATGGGCTTGAGGATCCAAAGACAAATTTGGTCAGGGATCCTTTGATGCCCTGCTTGATATGATGAAGAAGCAGGTTACACTCTGCATGGCATGGCTTGTCCTCCACTTTGAGTTCAGGAGTTTCTCCCAGTGATTCCCCAGAGCCCCATTGGAGAAGATAGTACCGAAGTTCATGGGATATATGTTTGGCGGTCTCAGGTTTGATCCATGAGGGGATGAGAGGTAGGAAGACTTTTGGGGAGATTGGGATACAGAAGGATTGCATACAAGGAGCAACCTGAATGATTTGCATACTGCCATCAAGCATAGTTGGATAGCTTGATGATATAGATAGGAGTTTGTTTCCTGCATGCAGAATAGCAAGGATTGTTCAAAGACATTGGCGAAAAGGAACCCCATCTTTGAAACATCATTTGAAGGATTGCCAGACATAAAAATAATCTCACCACTGATTTTTTCCCATTTCAATACCAATGATGAAGCTACATTGAAATCATTCAAGTGGCCCTCCCAATCCCTGTTCACTCCATGAAGTGTGCGAAGGGCTTCATTCAAAGTCTGCCTTGGAATTTTGGAGGGAAGTGGTTTTGCTGTCAGCCTTAGCAATCTCAGGTATGCATTGTTCAAAGTTTTGACCATCTCCAGAGCCTGGTTGTTCTTTTCTTTGATCATCTTGTTTTTGATGCATGGGAGGAAGTATGACAAGATAGGCTTTGCCCAGAAGTGGACACACTTTGCAAACCGAGGGAATGAAAATTCCAAAATCCCAAGAAGAAATTCACAAATGAGGGCTTCTGGGGATCGCCGTGGCGTCGCTCCAGAAACCATACCAACACATTTTGATAGTCTCCCGATGTCAGACTCCGATATGAAGTTGATGATAGTCGATCAATTTCATATGGAGTCTGCTTTCAAACGCGCCTGCAACATGGGCGTAGATTGTTCTCACGACGTTTATTCCCACGGTTCGTTGAAAAGTTGTCATGTGATCCCTTCGCGCGACGCGTCTTGTACTAAGTTGTAGATCAAACAGCAATAAAGGTTACAATTTCGAAGTTTTTTATTGCTCAATGTCCGCGAAACCGGCCCCAATTCTACCTGAGACACCTCATCAATAAAACATTCTTGCACCAATCACTCCTACCCCATTCTGGAACTACAATGGGGTTCATTCTCTCCATTTCCTTCTTCCCTGTCCCTCCCAGCTTGTTCCTAGATTTGAGGGTTAGTGTATTTACAACATTAGAGCCAGTACCTGGTCTTCCTAAAGTGCAGTTGTTGTTTATATGGCAAGAAGCTGGATTGGAATGAAATTTCGTGGTTGGACAAAGGGTAGTCCTCCAAGATAGCAAGTATGACATGCATAAGCATGTATATATATGCAGATTTTCCTGATCCCGTTGCTGAGATCGCAAGGAGGTTGTTTCCGTTGAGCATTGAGGTAATGCCTTGAGTTGGTAGTCATGTGGACCAGATGGGAGGTGTTTATGGTGGATTTGGCAGCAGAGGGCCCACCCTCTGCTGAGTTGAACATAAAACTTTTGCTTGCAGGTGTTTCAGGCGTTATTGCCAGGGAAAACACGTATAATTCGTCGACGAAGCACAACTAATTAACGAGCGACGCGGTCCGTGGGAACAAAACGTGACCATAATTTTTACGCCCATGTTGACCTTACCACAAGGCCCAGACTAACATTTTGATGCATGGTGAATTTCTTGTAGTTCATCCCAAACCTTGCGTAAGTGTGTTACACTACGCTCTGGGACGACGCCATTTGCCGCAACAGAAAGCGTCACTTTCCCGCTATGTCGATTGAACACTAATGATATAGCTATTTTTGGCCAACTTGCTTCGAATACGGAGACGTATGCCAATGCATCGGCCACTTGAAGGTCGAGATGACATGTGTCGCTGCAGTGATGCAGATTGGACTTGTGACCGGGGGGCCCAGGCACAGATAACACTTTGTATATTGAGCGCAACAGTGAGTTGTAGGTGTCTTGTGTTATCAACGCCATGGATCAGAGAGTGCGGTGATGGGAGCTAGCGTTGAGAAGTGATACTGTACGACATGTCACGTTACACTTTCAGCTGTCGTGACACCAGCGGTCCAGAGAAAGCGAAAAAAAAATGCAACCCAGACGGTATTACATTTACACAGGGGGAGAAAGTTTGAGTGACAAAATGTGAAGAACTCGTAGAATGGTATTGTCCCTTGTCTATTTCACAACCCTCTACTAGAACACTCCAGTCCAGGTTTCGATGAGGTCGATAAGACAGGACCCGTCTATAGGGATATATTGTTTCGTGATCATCTTGATGACTTCTTGCGCAACCATGCCCCCCAAAAGAGCTGCTGTGTTAGGCAAGTCCGCAGTGGGTGCTCGGACACTATTGAAATACCGCATTATCAGTGGAAAGAATCAGTTGGAATGACACGAATGACACACATCTCTCCAACGGCTTCCGCAAAGTTTTCTGGGAGATCAGTGCCAGCGGGGAGCAGAGCCTGTGCCTCGGCGACGAGAGCCTCGACTGTGACGGTAAGCGGTGCGTTCGGCTGCTGTTTTGTAGAGAGGGATGAGAGCGCGGATAGAGATAGGTGGATGGAGAGCTGTTTGGGCGCTGACTCGACGGCAGCCACTACATTTGATGGTCAAAATTAGGTGGAATGCTCGAATGAGAACTACGCACCTAGCGCACTTGGGTTTTTATCCAAGGCTCCCCATCTCTTGCCCCTCAACAACTTCAATGCGTGGGCGTTTTTAACGAATGCGTCAATGGTCGCGTCATCTACTGGCACAGTCAGATAGGATTTGAAGAGCGTCTTCTCCTCTTCAGCGCGAGCTTTGTAGAGTTTCTGCAGAGATATATACGAGTTGGTGCTCGCCTTCATGTCTGGAAGTGTGCTTGTCAAGGGTAGGGTATTCGGCGGTTGTTCTTCTGTGAACTTGGCGAGGGCCGCCACGAGATGGAAGAATGGAGCAGACTTTGGTGTCAAGGATTTCACCTTGGGGTCTTGGAATAGAGCGCGGATTTCAGAGGGAACGGTGCTGGATGTCCAGCAACGATAAGCTTGGGCCTCGGCTTCGTCGAAATTCTCTTCGTCAATCTTTTTCTTCATGCCGACGATAATCTTCTTGAACTCTTTCTTCTCATCGTAGCTGGATGGGGGATTGCCGTTGTGCTACGAAAAGGTTACCAACTTGCGAAAGGGACGTTGTGTCGACGACTCACCGATTTCTTCCATTCTTCAAGCACGCGGACGAGGATGTAGACGTACGGTATGTGTCCGTGGTCGGTCACATCCATGTTTTCGAAATCCAGGGAGGCTGAGTAATCGAGGAGAGCGGGGAAGGGTTTATCGATTCGTAATGACGACGCAGTTTCAGAATGGCTCTCGATAACTATCGTTTACATGAGTCTCAACGCGATAAGAGATGGCGCGACGACGTACCAGCATGCTCGTGGAACTGGATATAAAATTCTGCCAGAAATCCAGCTGATCGGACGACGACCAAAGGAGGGAAAGATTCATCTTCCCACAAAAGCGCAGACAATCTCTCGAGCAATCCCGCCTCCAAGTTGTGGGCGATCACGATGGTGAATTCCGTGAGCCAATCCTTATCCTTCTCCAAGACTTCTTCCAAACTTCTCAGGTCAGCCTTTCCCTCAACGCCGTCGTTCAGCTCGCCTAGAAGTCGCACCGCCTCTTCCGCGCGAAATTTACCTATGCTCGATGGTCCCTCAAGGAAGAAGTTATTTCCCGCATCTTCTGGAGTCACTTTAGCAGGATCGAGGATCGTGAAGTGGCCGATCCCTGGGAGAACGAGGTTTTTAAGGACTGATGTCGAGGTAGCGGTGCCAGAGATGACCAGGAGACGTGATGATTCGAGCGCGTTCTGTCCGGAAGCTGCCCATAACCTACGAGAGTCCTCTCAGCTGGGCCTGGGTATTCAAAAGTCGCGTAAATTATACCGAAGCTGACGATCATATCGCCTGGTTTTGCTGTCAGGTGGGGCCCTAGTTTCACGTCAAATTCACGATGAACGTTGGTTGTGAACGCTTGGGCACTTACTCTGCTACGATTGTGGTGGTTGCAGCGTCGATATCGGGTCCTGCCATGGAGCTCGTCGTAGTGGTAAGTGGTGGCCAACAAATGTGTGTAAGCCTGAATCTTGACCTGAGTCACAAGTCTGGCTCTGGTCTGCAGCACAAGTCACCAAACCGAATCGCTTTCCTGAAAGCTGGGCGCGCAAGTGCATGGTAGCCGTAAATTCGTGGTCGATGGTGTGCGTGAGTGATATTACATCTATCATTCACCTAGTACAATAATACAACCCGGGCAAGACAGATCAAACTCAGCATACAACTGGATCCTGCGAGGATCCTCGTGCCCAATGGCCAAGGAACACCCTTCGCTCATGAACGAGCCCCTTCACGACGAGCTGGCCGTTTGCACGGTCGACCACGCTATCCATCGACCCCTTATGTCAATAAAGCGTCACCTAGATTGGCATTGGGATGCTCAAAGAACAGGATGGTGCAAGACTACAAGCAATTAGTGGTGTCCAAGCACCGTCACGCATATGTCTATGGCATCGATCTCGACTTGTCGGCTTCAAAGCAATCTTGAGGACAAAGAGAGACACGCCAACCCGTTCCGGGAACTTGGCGCTCGTACGTGCTAGACGCAAACTTCGTAAGTCAATGTTCAATGTACATTTGATTCCGTCCACTTGTTATATTACAATGGTTGACCCAATAAAACCCATGATCTAACTGGTAGGGTTAGGTCATGAGGAGATCCGAATTGACGAAGACGTACATTTACACCTGCCAATCATTCACCGCACTCCGCTTTTCTTTCCCTGTTTAACCGGCTTCACTTTCTCTGAATGCAACAAGAAGTTTAATTTTGCAGCAAGATTCACAAGAACTGAGGTGTGCTGACTAGCAGGGTCAACCGTCAGGCGCTGAGAATTATCATTGTTCGAATTCGTCAACGTCTCCGAAGTGGTGTTATACGAATCCGTATTGGTCGTCTTGACGCTACTGTCCGTTTTGGTGAAATCACCAGCGATGTCGTTGAACTCTCCACCAGAGATGGTAATGCCAGAGGCTCCTTGGAAGAAAGGCATGTCGACGTTTGGATGAGTTGAGAGGTACTAGTACGAGGCGCTGGAGAGCTGCAATTGATGATTGATCTGCTGACTGGAACGAACAGGTTTATATAACAAGCCTGGCGGTACATATTAGGCACAAGAGGTCTTATTATGGGGATCGATAAGATTGGCGCTACGGGAGAACGACATTGGGTGGGAAAAATCTTTCCACAAAGTGTCTGAATCGGAATAAGTTTCTAAGGGGGTAGAAGAGGAAGACGCCGTCGAGCCATTGTCTCTTCCATGTCGACGAAATACATCTATGTTTTCTTTTTCTTTGACTTCTTCGCCGTTGACGACGCTGTCACGGGGGTAGCAGGCCGTGAATCCTTCTTCTCGGCCTTTTGCACCTCATCAATTCCACGTTTCTGCGGCACAATTACGGTTCAGCGCGTTGCAATGGCGAAACAACAAACAAATAGCTCACCTTTCCTTTACTAGCACTCTTCGCCTTGGCCTCCTCAATCTTATTCACCTCCGCCTCCTTCTCAATCATCCCCAACAACGTGTTACACCGCCTCTGCAGTTCCTGCGGTGACCTACTCTTGAAGAACCAATCAAAACGGAACACTGGGAACTCGGTAATGTCCTTCTTAATCCGTTCGTACACGTCGTCTGCTTGCATTCCGTAATGGAATAAGCGGCAGAGTAGATAACGGTCTTCCTCCTCGCTGTAGACTTTGCCTTTCGTCGTGGGATAGTTTAGCTCCAGCTCTTGCATGGGGTAGCGAACGGATGAGATCTTCTTCTCGAGGAGGTATTCGAGGTTTTCGCGCTTATTGCGTTTAGCCTCGCCCTCTGCGATGCGGGTTTCGATTCGAGGGTATTCTACAACTAAGCGTCAGCGAAGTCCCATTAGGAAAGAGACTGAATGAAAAGCGTACCAGCCAACGTCTTCCACATCTTTTGGAACTCGTTATAATACTTCTCGACGTCCTCCGGTGTCTTGTCTTGTATCTCAGCAGCGTAGACCTCAAACGACTCGTCCCTATCGCAGCACCATTAAGCCTCAAAGATTACACACAAAAAAAGTCAAGCACATACCACCCATACGTCTCAAGCGCACGCACAAACTGCTGGAAATCACGACGACTCCAATCTGGGAAGCCTTCTTCTATATACGCCTCTTTCTCCGCCATCTCTTCCTCTGTCAGCGGTTCAGCTAAACCAACCGACGTATGAGTTCTATGAGAGAGGGAGGGATGCAGAATGCCAACCAACCTGTATCAATGAACAGCTGTGCAGCTTGTCGCTCCTCTTCCAACTTCTCAGGTGTATCCTCAGGACCTTGCGTTTCTCGGGGGGTAGCCACAATACCATTGAGCCGCTGGGTGCATGAGATAAACAACAAAGTTCAACAGTAAAAGAAGCAGCTCAAACCAACCTTGTGCACAGCAAGCTCCCTTTCCTGCAGCTGAGCAAGTTCTGGCGGGAAGAACTGGAAGTCTTGGCTATCCAAACCACATTAAATGAGCCACGACACAACTCAGTACCAGAAAAAAACGAACATGGCGATTTGCTTGGGCGCACGCGGGATCTTGGCTGCCTTTTCTGGTTTTGACGGACCAGCACGTAGTGTATCCTTGAAATAATTGTCCACTGAATAATTCGACTTTCGCTCTCTCTTCGATAGTGACAAAAGGCCAAGTGTTAGTTGTTTGCGTTGCTGTGAAATGAAACCCATCAGCAACCTAAAATCAAGCCAAAGATGGAGTAAGTAAACTCACACCCGACCGGAAATCCTCTCCTTCCCACTGCTGCACAGACGCGTCCGACTTGAAGTTACTCAGATCCTCCAGGTTCAAACTCTCGTATTTGCTATTCAGCTCAATGGTCCGCTCCTCGCCACGCTGGATGATTTCATCAATGTCGTCGTTGATAAAAGTGCTAAGATCATAGTCGCGTCAGCTCAACAACGGATGACCAAAAAGAAAAGAAGAAACGTACTCATCGGAAGCGGCATTAATAATCTTATCAGCACCATGCGTGATCATCTCCAACAGCTCCTCCTTGTTTGCAGCTGCTGAGTGGATAGTGGATAGGGGTAAGTTTATAGCACACCATACACCACTCAAGTAGTCGAATAAAGATAAGCGTACCTTTGGCTTGCTGCGTCCTTCCTTGCTGAATGACCAGTTGATCCAAGCGAAGCTTCTGCGCCGCCCTCTCCAGCATCCGCTCCTCCACGCTGCCCTCGGTGATGAAACGGAATACATACACCTGTTTAGTCTGCCCAATTCGATGCGCACGATCCATGGCTTGAAGATCGGCTTGTGGGTTCCTAGAAAACGTCTTTGGGGTCAGCAACCACCCAATATCGATGCAACGAAGAGAGAGGACCCACCAATCACTATCGTAAAGAACGACAATATCAGCCGTCGTCAAGTTGATTCCAAGTCCACCAGCCCTTGTCGTGAGCAAGAAAATGAACCTTTCGCTCCCAGGTTTATTGTACTCGTCAATAGCAGCGATTCGGTCCTCGTGCGCGGTGCCACCGTCAATTCGACAATATTCTGACAGATCCTTTCAGTTAGCTGGGAAGGGACGAAGAGGGAAAAGACGTACTATATTGCCTGAAAAGACAATAATCCTCCAGAATATCGAGGACACGGCTCATTTGGCTGAATATCAGGACACGGGATCCCTTTGCTTTCATGTTGGCCAGTAATTTATCGAGAATGACCATCTTGCCAGAGTTTTGGATGAGGTGCTCGTCTGTCGTATACGGCGGTCCGGGTTCCTGTGTGATTAAGAGGGTCAGCCTGGGGAAGTGAAGAACAAGAGGATGAGATGTACAGCGCCATCAAAGAGGTAGGGATGACAGGTGACTTTGCGCAGCTGCATCACCATGTTCATAAGTCGTGTTTTGCCTTCCTTCTTCCCTGTCAAGCCTACGAAGGAGTTAGCTGTGTGCTGTGTTAAACTAGCCAAGACACCCACCATTGACAGCGTCGATATCTTTCTCAAGAACAGAGCGATACCACTTCCTCTGCATCTCAGCAAGCCCAACGTAGATGTTAATCTCCTTCTCTGTTCCCAGTTAGTCGACGCCAAGCTCCACAGAAAAAACAACACATACTAGGCAACAAATTCTTCTCCACATCCGCCTTCACCCGCCTCAACAAAAACGGTCGAAGAATCTTATGCAGCGCCTCAACAACCTTCTTACTCTTCTCCTCCTCCACATCCGTCCCCTCCGAGTCCTTGTGCAAAAAACTGTCCAAATCCTTATAATCCACGAATATCTCGGGACATATAAAGTTAAGCAGCGCAAACAACTCCTTCAAGTTGTTCTGCAACGGTGTCCCGGTAATCAACAACCTCCCCCTCGATATGAAAGACCTGACGATCTGAGAAAGAATCGAATCGACGTTCTTGATTCTGTGCGCTTCGTCAATGACGATATACTCGAACGAAAACTTCTTCAATGCCGATTTTTCGATGAGACAGATCTCGTAGGATGTTACGCAGACTTCAAAGTCTTGTGTTATCAAGCGGGAGGCGATAATTTCGGCGCGTTCGTCTTTTGTTCCTGTTAGCGTTACGACGTTGAAATCGGGTGTCCAGCGCTCGAATTCGCGGTGCCAGTTCTGGAGTGTGGATTTTGGGACGACGACGAGGTGTGGGCCGGAGATGTCGCGGTAGTGTTTTAGGTAGGCAAGGAAGGAGATTGTTTGGAGGGTTTTTCCGAGGCCCTACTAGGGAATTAGTGGTTGCTGGAAGGATGAACAAAGTTTTCACACCATTTCATCAGCGAGGATACCGTTCAGGCCGTTATGGTGTAAGGAGACCATCCAGTTGAGACCTTGTAGCTGATATGTTCGCATTTCTCCCTTGATGACTAGAGAATTATGAGCATTGGTCGAGGTTTAGGTTGGGATAACGCACAGCTTGGGGACGTTTCGAAGACATAGGGCTGGTCGTTCCCGTCCACAGCTAGTTCTCCATCTTTCAACAATTCCTCGTCTTCTTCCTTCTCTGACTTTCTGTGTCGAGCACTGGCGTCACTAAAGTGGGAACGGGTGAGCTTTATATAGTGCATGTCGCAGAAAGGCACCAACATTGCTTTTTTACGCCCCCTCCCCTTTGGTTTTGGTTGAGCATCCACCATGGCGGCATATTGTGGATCACGCGCTCTCTATGGGGACGAATAAAGTACACGCTCACAAGAATGTTGAGACACGTACCTTGATATCCACAAAGTGCTTGAACAGCTCCGTCTGCCCTAGTAAGTACGAGTACCGCTTTACCGCATCTGCTATCTATGAGGTGTGAAACAAACATTCAAGGCGTAGAAAGAAGTCGCGTACCTTTGCTTTATCCATTTCCTGCCGTTTAACCTGCAGCTGGCCTTCTGCAACCTTTCTCTTTTGCTTTTTCTCCTTCCGTTCCGCGGTGGCTTGCATCTTGGAAGTTCCTTCGCCTTTATACTTTATCGAATAAGGAAGATAGTCAGTGAAACGCAGTTAAGGACTTGAAACAACATACATCCTCTGCCTCTGCCTCACTCGCCAGTTCGTCCTCCTCCATGGGCTCGTCCTCGAACTCGCTCTCGCCTTCCGCGCCTTGACTCGGCTGGATGCTTATGGTGAGTAAAAGCGGTACCGCGTGATGTCAACTCGGAGCCAACCTGCCGCGAAACGATGTTGCTGGGGACGATATCGCTAAGAATGTCTTCGTCCATAGGTTCTCCGACTGTGAATGTCTAGATGCGTAGAGCGTCAGTGGTGAAGAGTGTGTGTGCAGAAAAAATCAGTACACTCATGGCTAAGAGGATGGAGTGATCGTGCGTGACAGCCCTGTTGAAACTCTCAACAGACGAGTGCACCTCTCCCACGCACTGATAAAACACAAAACTCAAGGCATGCCGATAGAGCGCACAGTATAAACGCGACAAATGATACAACTGGTAGCTTGGTTGACGCAAATTGAATTACTTATTGTCTCTGGAAACATGAAAACGATCGAGACAACTTTGTTCTCCCACAACCCCTTTTGATTTCTCTGCACTCTTACACACAATGAAAGAGAACTCCGTTTATACGTTTATATCAGCGGCTCTTGGGCTCGAGATGCCATGGTTGATGATAATTCGACTTGCAAAATGAATTCGCATATTCACTATGACACCAACGTGACACTTTGAAAGTGTTCACATGATGTGACACTCCCGATTCGGCAGGGGTTAATTCAAGCCAAATTCAAATTGCTTTCTGAATCTCACCAGCAGAGGCAGGACATAGGCCACTATTCAAGCAAATCTAAACAATATTTTACGCGACGGCCCCATTTCCGTGGAATTTTATGATCTTGGGATGTGGCTGACTTGTGTTGAACCTTGGTTGGACCATCACGCATCAGCGCTCAGCTTCTTTCTATTTCTTATAAAAGCATGACGGCCTTCCACCTCCAACTCGCTTCCACCCTTTCAAATGCTACTCCGGCCTTTCATCACCATTTCCCTTCTACTCACCTCATCCAAGGCTCTCTGGCCTCTTCCACAACACCTCTCAACAGGAACCACGCCCCTCCGTCTCTCTCCCGACTTTCAAATCCATCTCTCAGGCGTTTACCACCCCCCAGCCGATCTCGTAGCAGCCGTCGAACGTACATCCAACTACCTACGTACTGACAAACTCCAAGCTCTAGTACCCGACCGTGGAGCGTCATCACTAGGAGCTATCCAAAATGGGAACACCCTCAGCTCGCTCACCCTTTCCTTAACACCCGCGTCGGGAAAAGTGAAGAGCATCTCAGAGGAAGCCATTGTGGACGTGGAGACGCGCGTGGAGGGGTACACGTTGACTGTACCCGCTGATGGCTCTACCGCCGTGTTGACAGCCAACTCTACGTTGGGTTTATTCAGAGGTTTGACTACATTCGGACAATTGTGGTACGAGTTGAACGGGTACACTTACACTCTCACTGCTCCGATTTCGATTACGGATGCTCCTGCGTATGTGCGTGGTACAGAATGCTGAATGTATGCTGTTGTCTGACCAGCTGACTCCAGCCATATCGAGGACTTATGCTGGACACCGCTAGGAATTTGTACGGCTTCCTCCCTCGTTATCAACTCAACGACTGAATTTCCCATTAGCTTCCCAGTTGCGGACATCAAACGCACATTAGACGCCATGTCCTGGGTCAAGGTCCTTTCCTCTTCTTTCCTATCCTTCAATCTTCCGCTCACTCACTATCAGATGAACACCCTGCACTGGCACGTTGTCGATTCCCAATCCTTCCCTCTAGTCATCCCCGGATTCGAAGCATTATCAGAAAAAGGCGCATATAATCCCGCGTCTGTATATACCCCAAAAGACGTGCAAGATATCGTCGCGTACGCAGCAGCGGTTCGTCTCTATTCCTCTCGTTCCCGCCAACTTCTCACTTCGTTCGTGAAACAGCGCGGAATAGACGTGATGGCTGAAATTGATACCCCAGGTCACACCTCCGTCATATCCAAAGCGTTCCCCGAACACATTGCTTGCGCAGAAGCAACCCCATGGAGCCTGTTTGCAAACGGTTTTTGTTCATCCCTTTTTCTTTCATAGAACCTTGAAGTTAACATAATACAACAGAACCCCCTGCTGGCCAACTCCGCCTAGCCTCCCCTTCAACAATAAGCTTCACCGCAAATCTTATTTCCGCAGCTGCGTCCATGTTCCCTTCCAAGTTCTTCAGCACGGGCGGGGACGAAATCAACCCAAACTGTTACGCGAAGGATGCTTCGACGCAGAATGATCTTTGTAATTCATTCGTTCACATGTACACTCGTAAATTGTCGCTGATGAATACCAGCATCACAGGGAAAAACATTCGAGGAAGCGCTGGATACGTTCACGCAAGCTACCCATGCCTCTGTACACGCTGCTGGGAAGAGGGCTGTAGTTTGGGAGGAGATGGTGCTTGCGCATAATGTGACGCTTCGGAGTGATACCGCCGTCATGTAAGCCCGCTCTTTCCTTCCTTATAACACAACGCTGGCTGACTGATAACGAAGGGTATGGATTTCATCAGCCAACGTCGCGGCAGTCGCACAGAAGGGGTTCAAGATCATCCACGCCGCTTCTGATTACTTTTACTTGGACTGTGGGCATGGTGGGTGGGTGGGTGATAACGTTAATGGGAATAGCTGGTGTGATCCTTTCAAGACTTGGCAAAAGGTACGTAAACATCATTCGTGAATCTTTCCTTGTGATTCTCATATGGGATTAGTCATACTCGTTCGATCCTGCTGCAGGCTTGACGGATACGCAGAAGGGGCTCGTGTTGGGAGGTACGTGTCGTTTCCTTCTCTTTTTCATGGCGGCATTTACTTATTCAAATAACATGATAAAGGTCAACACCTCTTATGGACCGAACAATCCAATCCCTCCAACCTCGACAGCATAGTCTGGCCACGCGCAGCTTCGTCTGCTGAGGTTCGTTTTGCCTCCTTTCTTCCTCCATCGCCGTTCCTAAGTAAGACTTTTTTATGACAGCTCTTCTGGACTGGGCCAGGAGGTGACGTTTCCAAAGCGCTTCCTAGGCTTCATGACGTCGCGTACCGCTTTATTCGACGTGGTGTTCGTGCGATTGTGTTGCAGCCCGAGTGGTGTGCTTTGAGAGCTGGGGCTTGTGATTTGTTTGCATGAGAACGGAGTGGCCAGTTGCTATATGTATTGGTGAGTAAGATGTGGTCGTGCTACGCTGTTGTAATTAAGCTGATGGTTAGCGTAGATTACTTGTTGGATCACTTGAAATCAAATGCAAGTTGGACGTTGGTCTGTAAAATTTATGAAAATAACCAAGTGTTCAATTGTTCTTGTCAAACTTGGCCGCCTGAAAGCCCTATGTAAGGAAGGTAATGTAACTACTAGGGAACTGTAAAGTAGGCACTTTCAGGGACAGGTGAAAGATAGTATTTTGGAAGGATGAGGGACGAACATGAACCTAGTCAATGACAACAAGGAAGAGCTTTGATGCCACCGAAGTACAGGTCAACAGTGCCCTTCGCTTCTGACGATGTTCACTCTAACGGTGTTGCGTATGTGATATCAAAAGAGTCGGTCTTGCCAGTTCCAGAGATCGAGGCGACGAAGGGGTTCAGAGCGTCAACGACAAGCGATCCAGAGTCACCGCGCCGCGAAAAAAGACCCGAGTCGTTCTAGTGCGGCAGAATGGTTACATCAGTTGGTCCAACGGTTGTACTTCTGGACGTGAGACAAGTAGCTCAAGAGCGTGCTAACAGTGGTCAAGGTGGTGAGCACGCGCTTGATGACACGGAGGATGAGCTCCCCCTCGAGGTTGCGGCAGAGGTGGGACTAGTTGGCGTCCAGATCATTAGAATCGGAATACGAAAATTGGGCTGCGAATCTCCTAGCATCCATCTTACAATCTTGAATTCTACGCCAGAACCGCTGCACTGAAAGAATGTCAAGATAGATTTGTAGTAATCAAAAGGTAAAGGACTGGCTTGCGGTGGCCGGTTCGCCTCATAATGGCGAGAGATGTGTCGATTAAGCAGGCTGAGATGAACGACTCGAGAGTCGTTCGTAGTGCTGAGCGCTGAGCGATGGAGTTCTAGACGCACGGACAAACGGCAACACCCGAGTTGGTAAGCAGAAACAACCAACATAATCATCAGCCATTTTTCTCTCAGCAACCACGACGACCAGCTAGTCGTCTAGCTCGTCGACAATAGCGAAACGCTGGCATTCCAGCTTTAGAGACTCTAAAAACCCATATCCTCAACAAGAAGCAACACCGCGATGGCTCAGTTATATTACCCGACACGCCCCGCCTCCTCGTTGAAAGAACCGGCTTTTACGGACTCTAGCTTCGTCGGAATGAGCGGAGACAAGCATTTAAGGGTAGAGGACGTTCAGGAGGCATATATCGAAAGTAAGGACCGGTGAGTAACTTCCCATTCATTCCCGCGACCCAAACGCTGATAGCACGGATAGCCTTATAGGTGCCATTGATTCGACCGAGGCTGTCTTAAGCGATATTCGGACTTACAGCAAGGAAGAATGGGTCGTTCGATACCCACAATATCGCGACCAGACACCTGACGACCAGGACAAGTCTGCGCGCCGCAAAGTTGGCCGTCGTTCGCTTACATTTGCCGACGATCCCAGCTTCGAAACAAACGTTGTTGTTGAAGGAACAAAACCAGGCGTTGCTCGCTCCGTGAAACTAGCGACCATTCAAGACGAAGAGGTTGCTGAAGGCACATGTGACAAGGAATTTGACTCGAACCATCTCCTTCCTACGTCTGACTTCAACGTTCTTCGCCTTGACCTCAAGCTCGGATCACATCACCCTTCATCTTCAGCCGCCTCCCTCGTTTCTCAGCTCGAAAAGTCGTCTATTGCCAATCTTCTTGACGAGCGAATCAATACCTCTATCAACCACGTTCGTAAACTACGTCTACGCGTTGAGGATACCAGTTCAAAGGTTCTCGTCACTGGAGATCTTAACGCCGGAAAATCGACCTTTGTCAATGCATTACTACGACGAGAGGTGATGCCCGTCGACCAGCAACCATGCACAACTGCTTTTTGTGAAGTGCATGATGCCGCCGAGAACAATGGTTTCGAAGAGGTCCACATCTTGAGGGACGATGTCACTTATGATCTGACGAACGAGTCGACATTCACTCGGGCTTCCATCGCCGACTTGGAGCAGATTGTCGCTGACAATGACGAACATCAACCCAAGATCAAACTCTATCTTGCCGACACCCGGGCTCCATCGGAGTCGCTCCTCAACAACGGTGTCGTTGACATTTCTCTCATCGACGCCCCTGGCTTGAATCGCGACAGCCTGCACACAACGGCTGTTTTCGCCCGTCAGGAGGAAATTGACGTCGTTGTCTTCGTCGTCTCAGCAGAGAACCACTTCACTTTATCTGCAAAAGAATTCCTCGAGACCGCCAGCAACGAAAAGGCATATCTTTTCATAGTCGTCAACAAGTATGATCAGATCAAGAACAAGGAAAAATGTCGTCGTTTAGTGCTCGAGCAAATCAAGGAGCTCAGCCCTTGCACGTACGAAGATGCCGAGGATCTTGTCCACTTTGTTGACTCGGCCTCGGCACTCCAGCCATTTATCGCCAACCCAGCCTTTGACGACCTTGAGCAATCACTCCGGTCCTTTGTCCTTGTTAAGCGGTCAAAGTCTAAACTCCACCCTGCCTCCACCTACCTTTCCAACCTTCTCTCCGACATCGAACTTCTTGCAGGGGCGAATGCCATTGTTGCTGATGCCGAGCTCCAGCGCGCTCGCGATGATCTGTCGCAAGCTAGGCCAGTCCTCGAAAAGATGAAGGAGGGACATGATAATCTTGAAGAGGCTCTGGAAGCGGTGGAAGAGACAGGTGCTGGAAAGGCCATATCACAAACCAGGACGGTTCTCAACAAAGCCCTCGAACGCGTTGGGCAGGGTAACCTGGGCGTTGATAAGCCGCTCATTCCCATGCCGTCATACCCTGGGCTTCTAGGAATTTGGGGTTATGTCCGTGATGTTCGCCGAGCTCTGCTTGCCAGTTTGGACGCGGCTGTCAGGTTAGCGGAGGATGAAGCGCGCCAGCTCACCTCCAACGGAGTTGGCGAGATCAAGGCTCTTGGAGATCAGCATCTGCCTGAGGGCGTTGAGAGGAGCAGGAGAGTATTCATGCCGGAGGCGATGTTCAGCCTTACAAGGAAGGCTGGTAAAGGCATGAAAAACAGGCGATCATCGTCACACAACAACATTGGAGGTGCCGTCGTCGCTGGCGGTCTCCATGGACTCGGCATTGGCCTTGCTCAGCGTTCTGACCTGCTCGAGACGACCTACCTTGACTTGTTCGACGTCAATCATCAATTCTTCGTCTACTTCAGTGACGGTAAAGAAACTTCAGAGGATGAAGATTCGAGTCCAAGCGCATTAGGCCTCTTTAGCGTTGGCCTTGGTGCGCTGACCATGGTTGGCAGCCAGGCAATCGGTGTAAGGGGCGTAATTGAAGGCATTGTCCGTATCGCAGACCTCTTCGAAAATGAATCCACCCGCAAGTGGGCTGCAACCGTCTTTGGAGCAGCCACTATTGGCATGACGGCGTACCTCGTCATGGAACTTCCAAGCTCCATCCCTCGCACGGTCGGTCGCAGGGTGAAGGCGTCCGTGGTACGCGGCGATGGTGGAGAGACTGAGGTTCATTTTGTTGATGCTCACGCTGGACGGATCAGTCGTGAGACGAGGAAAGTGTTGCGTCTTGCCTCGTGGGATTTGAGGGAACGGTTCAGGGGTGCTATGGAGGAGCGAGCGAAGGAGGTGAAAGGTTGCGAGGAGATGGAGAAACGATCGTTGCGTGCCAAAGAGAAATTCGAAGGCTTTACTCAGCGAACTGGTGAGATCAGGGGGCACGCACAGTTGGAGAGCATTGGTGTCTAAAAACAAGTGGTTTTCTGCGAAGCTATTGCAGGAAACAGGGTTTCTTTTATTATTTTTCTGCTTGACCTCTTCGTCTTCACACTTGCCCTCTCTCATTGCCTATATTTTTCTTTCGTAACGATTCTGCCTTCTGCCATTCTATCTTCGACAACGCGAGTAGACGCGTCCTTCCCTCCTCTGGAACTACCCACATTCTTTGCATCTCCCGTCCTTTAGACTACCTCTCCTCTATGCATACTCACATTTTACTTTTTCACGTTTACTTCAGATTGATCTATTTCTTCAATCTTCATGACCCCACTCTATGTCTATGATAAGAATGTAACTTGTCTTGTACGACTTTTTCAGTGCACATGCGTTGCAGTCTTCGCATTTGGACGGCCCACCTTGGTAATGCGACCGGATTGGCTGTATATTTCGTTTGCAAGCGCTGCTGCGTTTGTTGGGGGGGTGGGTATGGAACGCGTCGTGCGCGGGTGATAATGCGCGATTTCCCAGCGGCTTTTGATTCTTATTGTATCCCGCACGGCTTTGAATAGTGCACATGCACTACAGCTGTATACTATTACTTCATGAACGTCAGGATACGTACATCCGAGAGAATTTTACGGTCGAGTGAAATACTATTCATAATAGCTTGTGTCCAAGCTCACTTGTACAGGACTTTCGCCGTTCCCCCGCTGGAGAAATACTATCATAAATGTAATCAGTCATACTCCTCACTTGAGTCTTTACTAGAGGCTTCTCGCTCCTGATCACGACGGCTGCCGATCTGATTATACTCTTTCAGCCACCCATTCCTTCCCGACCACACCACATCTTGACCTTGAGCATTGGGGGGGGCAGTGGACCAATCTCCGCAAGTACGGTTTGGAGAAGATGGCGTTTGTTCTTCTTGATATGGATGGTTTCGTCGCGATCCTGCGGCTCAATTGGCTGGCCGGCCTCGAGAGATGGGCGGACAAGCTCAAGTTGTTTTTCGACTTTCGTAAGGTCCTGTGAACCTTTGAGATGCCAACATATTGGACGAAGTTCTTCCTTCTGATTACATACAGTCAGATACATGCAGCACAAATGGTGACATCTACTCACCGGCATAAGATAGGGATCTATGGAAACGGTGAGTGTTGCACAGGTATTGTAGATGTATGTGTTTGCAAGGGTCCACTTGGGTTCGACTTCTGGGGTGCGGGGATCACTGCCGAGCATAGATGCGTCCAGGGGTATGAATCGGCGTCCCATATGTTCTGGAAACTCGTGCAGGCCCTCCTTTCGTAACATGAGAGGATAAACCGACAGTGTCATCCCCTTTCTTCCTTTGCGGACGACAATGTCGCGCTCCACCGATGCGACGATGGCTGGTCTGTAAGGAAACTTCCACTTTTCATCAGCCATTGATGGGGGCTGCCAGAAGCTAGTATCCGTATTGATACTACTGAAGCGTCCGCTGAATTGAATAGTAGGCGGACCAAGGAGTTTGAGCTTGATGAAATCACCAGGGCGGATCGAATCAAGTAGCCTAAGCGTACTCTCTGCCACTGCTTGTGCAGGGTGGGCCTTCTTCGCGATCGGTGGTGCAAAATCTGAGATAGGATTTGATGACTTGACACAGGTATCATACATAAGGTACCTTCGGTATCAGCGGCTGGGGGCCAGTCAAAAGGTTCATCCGAAGAATACCCACGACGCTTCATGTCATCCATAAAGGCCGCCTGTAGACCGTCATAATCGGGTTCCTCATCAAACTTGAGTTGTCGCGCATGAGAAAGAAGGACTTTGAATGCACTGGGAATGTCGGCACAGAGTCTTTCGGGAGTCCAAGATCGTTTCTTTTCTCTGACCCTGTCCTCGAACTGCTTCGGGCTTCCGCCTCTAATATTTCCCCAGGGCAGGTCTCGCAAGCAATCGAGAAGGGAATATGCCAGGCATTCAATGTCATCACGCCGTGTCTGTGCTTTAGCAAAAGATGAATATACTTGACTAGGAGTACTTGCTGAATCTCAACGACCCACCCATTCCGAAATGAGTATTGAGACTCAGGTAACGAACAGTACCAACAACCGACTTCCCATCAAGAAATGGGATATGGGCACCGTTTCGAGGATTTCTATACCGTCTAGCAATACCGAAGTCAACGATGTAAACACTAGTTTCGTTGTCTTTTGCTCCCAACAGCAAGTTTCCGGGTTTTATATCTCTGTGGACAAAGTCTTTGGAATGGATATACCGAATGGTCGGAATCTGACAGGAGATGCGAGATCAGAGAGAAACGGTGCAGAAGTCGAGAACACAAACGAGCTAATACCAAGGTGGTCTTGATGCTAAACCGACCTCCGCACTTTTTACGCATGAACTGGAGATCAGCGCCCAATAGATCAAGGACCAGAGCTTTTGACTGACTTGGTTTGTCGTAGCCATAATCTATCACGCGAGGAATCCGCGGAGAAACATTGACATCAGCAAGACGTTAGCTTCATGTTCTGAAGGAGGTCGTTTTTTTTCTCCGAAGCACGCTCGAGCTTTACCGCATATTGCGCTGAAGATTCAGAAACCTCTGTTGCCCGGTAAACCAGTCCTAAAATGACAGTTCCGAATGTCAGAAAAGCGACGACGTGTGTGAGTAAGGAAGCTTACCGTAAGCTCCCGCTCCTAGACGTTCCAGAGCATGATATTTGCCAAGAATCGGAGAGTTCGAAGCTGCCATGTCAGTTTAATGCCGACCCCGTTGCTGGCATGAACTTACTGGAATCACTTACATGAAGCTCATTCGACGACAATGTTAACAATACCAAATAGTTGTTTGTCATTCGAAATTTCCTCTCACACCTCCAGTCGGCTGACACTCATACTAATAGGGAGTCGGTTCTTTGCTTTGCATAAGTACGCTTGGGATATCTTTAATTAGTATGTAAGCCAGATTCTTTTCAAATCTTACTGCTTATTCGTAAAATCATCGGGCCACAGAAGTAGATGACCTGCGAGCAAACCGACTCAAATCCTATATTGGCTAGTATCATCTATAGATCTAGATACACTTTACATAAAATTTTCTTCTTCGTCGTAACTCTCTCTCCTCTACAAAACCTTCTCCACAAGGCCCAACCCCTCAGCCTCCAAAATCTTACGAATGGGATCGCAGATCTCTTTGGTATATGGCGCATGGACACCCGGAGTGGAGAGGACGCCGTCCAAGACGAGTTGGGTAGCAATACCGCATGGTAAACCCACCGTCAACGCCATCGCGGTGTGACCTGTAGGGCTTCCGTATGCCTCGAGCGTGGATGTGAGAATTTGCTATATCATCAAAATCCAGCATCAGTTCGATCCCAGTTTGTATCGAGGAATAACCATGTACCTCAGATCCGTCCTTCCATTCCACGACGAACTTGTGCTGAAGCATGACGAGATCCCTCTCACCCTGCTCGTATTTCATCAACGTCTCGAGTTGAGCACAAAGTGTGTCGAGAAGGTTGCCAGCACGAGGGGTGACTTTGTCTGAAGAGAAGAGACCGATCCAGCGTAATCCCGAGATAATCCTGTTGGTCTCAGATTCATTGGGGAAGTTGCAGATGGCCTTGACGCGGTCCACGAGGGCGCTGAAACGAACGTCGTTGAGATGATGGTCCGAAGAAGAAGAAGGAAAAAAAACACCTTTCCTGAGCATCGTTTGCCCCAATGGTCTTCTGCATAACCTCAGCCCAGGTCAAGCCCTCCTTCAGCCACTCCTTCTCACCAGCATCAAGCCACCCAAGTTGAACAAGAGCCTTGATGAACTCAGGGAATCCCTGATACCTCAACGTACCGCGAACGACAGTCTCCGCTTCAGGAATATTGTAGTATTCCCTGAAAGGAACCGAGTCGCGATTGGGGTATGCGACAAACGCGAATGCAGGCGAGATGAAGTAGGGTTGAGCATATCCCATCAATTCTTGACCCGAGATGTTCAGCTGCTCGCCTTTGGAGAGATATGAAGCAGAGTTGAGCAGGGCGAGGAGGACGCCACGGGAGGACCAGGAGAATTTGTAGCCGAGCGGGTTTCCAGCGCATTCTGGTGCTGGAAGACCACCACAGTAAGAGAGGAATTGCTTGATCTGCCCAGGTCAATTATTGATTAGATTCAAGAAGATATGGACTATAAAGTTTACCTTTCCGCCCTTCTCATGGACTTCGTCGATAGTCTTAACGGCGTAGAGATGATCAATACCGGGGTCAAGACCAATCTCGTTCAAGACAACGATACCAGCAGCCTTGACTTCGGCGTCGAGCTCCCGCATGGCTGGAGAGATGTAGCTGGTGGTGACGACGTTGGTCTTGCCCTTGATTGCCGCCTTGATGACCGTAGCGTGGTATGTGTACGGAATGAGCGAAATGACGAGATCGTGAGCGGCCACGGCAGCTTCTAGAGCTTCGGGATTGTTCACGTCGAGTGAGATGGCAGTTGTGCTGGGGAGATCGGCTCCCAGAGCCTTGGAGCTCGCTAGCGTGCGGCAAGCTACAATGCACATAATGAAGAGCAATAATATGAATAATAAAATTTATACGTACCAATCGTGAGCTCGTTAGAAGGATCACGGACAACGTATTCAGCGCATGGGCGAGCGACGAACCCGCTACCAAGAAGAAGGACCTTTTTCACGGGCTTCTTCGAGGCAAGCGCAGCGGCAGCCCGACCGAAAGTGGGCCTGATATCCTTGCCCTCCTCAAGAAGAACACGCGCAAACTCTGGGAGCTTAAAGGCAGAGGAGTGAAGTGCGGCGTTATAGTACTTAGTCTCCTTCACTTCCCTAACCGGAGTCCTCAAATCCCGTCCAGGGGCCTTGGCGCAGACGATGAAGCCAATCTGGCCCGAAGGGTAGGTAGGAATCGTAGTATACGCGTATTCAGAGACAGCGAACAACTTGGACGTCATCTCTCGTAGCTCTTTGATGAGCGGAAGGTGCAGCCAGAGGCACTCGCCCTGTGTGGAGATGTGTCCGCCAGGGGTAAGCGCGTCGTGCAAAAGCTGGAAGTATGGTTTTTGGAAGAGAGATTCAGCTGGACCGACGGGATCGGAAGAGTCCGTGATGATAACGTCGTATGTGGCTTCGTTGTCCGCCAGGAACTTGAAGCCGTCGCCAATGAAGACGGTCACTTTTGGGGAGGCGAGAAGGGAAGACATGTGTGGGAGGTATTGCTTTGACACCCGCACCACGGCCTAGAAAAAAAAAAAGGATGTCGAATCGGATTATCATGAGGTCGATAGAGATCAGCAACCGACCTCATCGATATCGCATAGCACAACTTGTTCAACAGTATCGTGCTTCAAAACCTCACGGACAACCCCTCCGTCGCCACCGCCAATAACGAGCACCTTCTTAGGGTTCGGGTGGCTCGCAAGCGGGAGATGGGCGATCATCTCTTGGTATCTGAATGTACAGGTCATTTTTGCCTACTCAGAATCGGACACAGAAAGCACACTTACGAGAACTCATCGCGTTCGGTACACTGAATAACGCCATCAAGAACAAGAACGTTTCCATATGTCTCCGATTCGAAAACTAGAACATCTTGGTACAAAGATTTCTCGATGTGCAGAATCTTGTTGACCTTTAAGGTCATGGCTTGTCCTGGCCATTGTGATGAGATCTCGCGGAACCAGCCATCTACGACGGTGTAAGTGGTTTTGACGTTGTAACTTCGTTGAAAAAATACCTTGGACGGAGGGATGAGTGAGGGGCGCCATGAAGGAGAGACAGAGATTATCGGAACGGTCAGAAAAAAAGTTGATCGTGGATTGCCGAATCGGATATTGTTGCCATATATGGCCGAGATAAGATTCTGAAGCCCTGACCAAGTCGGGGAAGTGGTGCAATAAATTTATTCGTGACGCAGATCATACAAATGGTAAATACTTCAAGAATTACATAGTGGTGGTTTTGCAGTGAGAGGGGGAATAGGTGATGAGGATATAAACAATGTATAATGCCAACAGAGAAACACGGATACAAGGAGAAAAAAAGCATCTAGAAGTCTTCATCAAGGGCACTGTGAACGGGCGGAGCATTAGTGAAATGGTCTGCAACGGAGTGGAAGAAGAAGAGACAGGACGTACAAAGTCTTTGATGATTGCACAGTGTTGTCGCTTGTACTCGAGTGGTTGATACCAGCCTTTGAGTAATCCGATACCCGCTTCTCGAAGAAGTTGGTCTTGCCTTGCAGCGAGATCATGTCCATGAAGTCGAAAGGGTTGGTTTTGTTATAGTGCTTTTCGTTACCGAGTGAAACCAACAGGCGGTCAGCGACGAACTCGATGTATTGGCACATCAAGTCTGCGTTCATGCCGATGAGCTTGACAGGTAGTGCATCTTAAGAAAACAATGTTAACACAAGACACTTCAGAGTTAAGGAAAGTTGACACACCAGTCAAGAATTCTTGCTCAATTTTTACAGCTTCAACAATGATATGCTTCACGACCTCGGGATGGGGACGACGTTTCAAGTGGCTGAAGAGGAGGCAGGCGAAGTCGGTGTGCATACCCTCGTCACGGCTGATCAGCTCGTTCGAGAAGGTAAGTCCGGGCATGAGCCCTCGCTTCTTCATCCAGAAGATGGACGCGAAGGAGCCGGAGAAGAAGATGCCCTCAACAGCCGCAAATGCCACCAGACGCTCGGCGAATGTTGACTCTTGGTCCGAGATCCACTTGAGAGCCCACTCCGCCTTGCGCTTGATGCAAGGAATTGTCTCGATGGCGTCGAAGAGGTACTCGCGCTGAGCTGGGTCCTTGATGTACGAGTCGATGAGAAGGGAGTAGGTCTCGGAGTGGATATTCTCCATCATGATTTGGAACCCGTAGAAGCAGCGAGCCTCCGCTGCCTGAACTTCATTTGAAAAGCGCTCGAGCAGGTTTTCGTTGACGATACCGTCGGAGGCAGCGAAGAAAGCGAGGACATGGGAGATGAAGTGGCGTTCATTGTCGTTCATGCGGTTATTCCAGTCATGGAGATCCTTCGACAGGTCCATTTCCTCAGCCGTCCAGAAAGATGCCTCGGCTTTCTTGTACATTTGCCAAATCTAGGGAGGGTCCTTAGCATTGACGCGACATGACTATGAGACAGACGTGTGGCTTACCTCGTTGTACTGTATGGGAAACAACACGAATCGACGCTTTGACTCCTTGAGCAGAGGCTCCTCACCTAGTAGCGTTCGTGAGACGGTGACGCTTCGAAGACATGAAAACACGTACTCTCTGGAAGATCAACTTCTCCAACGAACTTCTTGCGAAGCTCTCGTAATTGAGCCTCCTCGTCAACTTCCTCGTCGTCACCAATGGTGTCGGGTGACTCGGGCAAACGCTCATCGTCAGTGAGCTTCACGAAGAGCTTCTTGGAGACCTTTGTTGGTGAGTCGAAGGAGAAGGCAGCTAGAGCAGCTGCGGCCTGAAGAGTGGTCAGCGGAGGTAAATGACGTGACGCGACGCGACGTGTACCTTCTTGCTGGGGGTGGGTGTCGGGGAGACAGAACGGGCGGTGAGAGATAATACCATGGTGTTAGGAGAAGAGGAAGAAGAGTGGTGAATAAGGGTAGGAGGCTCTGGGAGGAGAATGGTAGTGGTTTGACGCGACTCTAGAAATTTAACGACTTTTTGATTTCAACGAAACGAATGAAACTCCGACTCCGACGTTGCTCCAAAACGCGTCAATCACGTGATGTGAACCTCGCGTTGACTCCTTTCAACGCGTTGTGCCTGAATTTATAATTGACGCGTCGCGTCGTCCTAAACGAGTAACAATGCCCTCACGCCCACCGGACTCTGACACACAATCAAACGTTCTGACAATCGAGGATTACGCGCCATCAAACACTACCTTTGTCGGCTGTTCATATCGCACTGGCAACAAGGAATACCTGAACATCCTACAGCGACGAGCAATTCGATATGTATCAACAAACGGAACGCGCAGCGCAAGGCAGCGCGTCGTTGGTAAATTTCCCAGACTTGACGGCTGGAATGATTTAAGTACATATGTCATAAGTGCGCCCTGCTCGGATGATCCAGGCGCGCCTCGAGTGGTGCCCGCGCGTCTGTCCACCATCGGTAAATTTCACGGAAGTACAGCTGACCCGTATACAACCGCGCTTGACTCATGAAGTTATCATTGGGGTGAGAAGTTACTCTAGAAAGGAGTCGTAAAGATGTAGTCATCCTCGATTTGTCCTCGATGGTATCCTTTCTGAGGGGGTTGATCGTCTCGGCTTGAAGGATCAGTTTACGCCACTTGTCAGGCATGCAGATTATATTCTCATCTCCTAGCTTATCTGGTGGCGGAGTGGACATGGATAAAACATGACTGGAGAAAGCAGTGTGCACACAAAATATTCGTCCAAGTTATGTCCTTGGACCTTGTGTGTGTTGGTTCCTATTCCCTCAGCATGGGAGCAATAAATCAAGAACGAGCCAAGGAAAGCCGGCCGTAACATACGCTGAAAACTTCAAAAGCAAAGATGGCAGACAGGCATTTGACGATTTCAAAAATCTCTACACAAACACAAAAAGAATGACTTGGTGGGAGCAGTAACGACAGAAAGTGTTCAATGATTCGGAGAAGGTGTGGTGTGCGGATGTATGAATGGATGGATGTATGGGATGGATGGATGTGTGGCCTAAGAGTACAAGAAGTGTGTGAATTGACGCATCGAAGAGTGTTCACCGAGCAAAAATCGCAACGAGGACAATAAATGGGATATAAGTAAAAACGGAAACAACCGCCATGATGCGACATCGCGTTCGCCACGATTTTGCGTCTACAGCAAACGTGTCAGCTGTCTTCCACGGAACGCATGAAATATGACTGACCGTGTTCTACTTGAGGATCATCAAGCACCACCCCCTTCTCCGTATCATTCCCTTCCAGCCTCCTCGTCCTCGGGATAGGGATCAAAAACCCTGCAGCCCACCACAAAGGAAACACAACAAACCCAACAAAAAATAACCACCCGTGAAGCGGACTCCCGTCCCTCTCCACCCACCCTTTCCATCCCCACCTTCCCTCCCCTCGCTGGACTTCAGAAGGGAAAGACAGGGACCACGGTGTGCTCTGTATCGGCGCCGGCTTGCGTGGGTCTCGCATATGGAACGTGTTAGAACGCGCGACGGAAGGTGCGTGTGGTGAGACGAGAGCTGAGATGGGAATAGAGGCTTGGGAGAGGCTACGTCGGGAAGGAGCACGTCGTGGGGGTTGTGTGGTGGTTTCTGCGATCGTGGATGGGGCTTTGTTGATGGACCCGAAGTTATGAATGCTGCTGCCTCTACTAGACCATGAACCGGTACTTTTGGCGTTGGGGCTGTCTCCGATGGATGAACTAGTCGTAGGTCGTGAATCAGACGAGCCGGAGATTCGGGGGCGTTTGTTGCGGTTGAAAGAAGAGGGGGGTCCATGGGAAGAGCCAGACGTCCCTGATGCGCGGTGGGCTGATACACAAAAGAATTGTTAGAGGTAACTCATGAAGGGAATCGTAAAGACGCACTTCTGGGCTCTGGAGCGAAGGTTGCTCGATTTACTTTGGGGGGAGTCTTGTCCCCTTCCACTTCAGCTTCTGATGCTTTTCTTTTCGTAGACCCAGTCGAGTACGACTTCTGGATGGGAGGGGGCAGACTAGCTTTTTGTAGTACCGATGAAGAAGGTTCTGTAGGCTGTGATTTGTGATGACTCCGTCTGCTAGGAGAGATGGGGGATGCTTCCGGTGAAGCAGCGATGGTGGATAGGGTGGGCGGCACGAGAAGTGACGTGCGTGGAATAGGTCCAACATCGCCTATGGTGTTCAGCTTTGACTGAGAATTTCGAGATGGCACCGGGATGGTTGGTCGACGCGACTGAGATCCCGTCGCGACAGGCGCGTCTTTCTGTCCTTTGTTTCCAGAGCTTGTATTACTGACATGGTCTTCCGACATGGTATCGAGAGTTGAATACTTTGGCACAGGTTTTCGTGGGTATTGATGTCTAGTGTCGGACGCTTGGTATGATTCGTCGTACGGGGTCTGGGTTATATTATGGGAGTGGGTATCTAAGCATCGATGAATCAGTTTTGTTTCGCTTAAAAAAGGGGAAATGAGACGCGCCTTGCAGTAAAAATGAATGAGGGCCTTCTGCCCCTCCAATGGGCCGCTATGTAACAAGACAGATTAAAATCAAGAAAATGAATAGAGAGATAGAAAGAAGAGGGAAAATGAGACGGAGAAACCGTGAGGATACAAAGAGGTGATTGGAAGGGATCGGAGGAACTACCCACGTTGTCACCGCGTGCCTTGCCCGAAGCCTTGATGTCCCGATTAGGAAGTGATATCGGCGCCCGCACATTTTGTTGTCCTCCACCATCCAACGCAAGACGGAGCATTTCTTGCGAGACTTGTACTTCCCAGCACTGCTCATACTCACCTCCATGGCCTGTCGACGACGCTTTCTTCGCGCTATACTCTGCACTCGATCTCCTACTACTGCCCAGGCTACTTTTACTAGTTGCTCTTGAATGCCGTGTTTTTGATGAAGAACTTTCTTTCATTGGCTTTGCATTCTTCGAGGAAATCTCATGACTACCGGTTTTTGGGATGCTGGACTTTCTCTTGCCTGCATTTTGCATCCGTTTCGTGAAACCTGCACTTCGCGTTCTGCTAGAGTGGCTACTTGAGGGCGCGAGTGACGGAAGAGACTGCGACCGGTAGTGTTCTTGCGTAGCCTCAGCAATCTGATCTTTGAGCGTTTGAGATATCAATGGCTGCCCCGTTGACATGGTGCGAAATGCCGGATGATCGAGTGGCGGCAAAGGTGGCGGTCCTGCCTGATTCCCAATACGCGAACTTTGGCTCGACCCAAACGTGACGCCTGATAAGGACGAAGGTGTTGGGATCCCAAACGTCCCTGGCGATGGAGCAGAGAAATTATTCTCGAACACCTGGGAAGAGAACGACTGCTGGGTCGAATTGTACTGAGAATAGGCAAATGACTTAGGAGTCCGTGGTTCTGTGTCGGTAGAACCTCGGGAGCGGGAGGTAGCGCGGCTTTGGATTGAGCGACGCGACAGACTGTCTCTGCCGTGAGGTTCGTCGTCGTACTGGCTGTTCGTTGGCGTATCGTAAGCAGTCTTGCGACCAAAGGTCGACCATCTACCTCCTGGACTGGGAGGGTTGGCGACTGCCGAAGGCGGTGAAGGAAGGGAAGGAGAATTTCTCGAGGTGACTCCAGTGAAAAGTGGTTGGCCTCTGAACGGTTTCCTTCTTGTGCTCGTGGTCCTGACGGACCGTAAGTCTGCCTGGCTTGTTTCTTTCGACGGACCTTGCTTCATTCCGTCACTGAAGGCACGTAAATGCGTGCTGATAGAAGCACGGTTCTTTCGTACACTCGGTGGTAGGGAGGCAAAGCCCGTTTCGTCGGTCCGTTGTGATATGGGCGAGACGTCGACGACACTGCCGTGGCCCAAAGATGATTCAAGCTCCTCCGCAAGCAAGTTGAGGTCAGGGTGTATTTTTTTGTCCACTGGGGATGATTTATGGGGACTCGGCAGGGGCTTTTCTGGATGTTGCTCTGGGCGCGCTTCGGTCTGTAGAACGGCAACTGTCAAGGGCTGACTTTTGCGTCGCTTGAAGGTGAATGTTGGCATCGTCCACGATAACTGTCGAGGGGGTCAGCAAATAAATTGAATAAATGGGAAGGTCGCTCACCGAATGACGTCACGTATATTGAAAACCTGAAGCTGAAGTCTGAACAGGCAAAGACCAGCACCAACGGTTTTGACAATCAGAACGGTGACGAGTATCGCAGCGACGCGTAAGATGACGGTTAGAGAACGAGATCGCAAGGTCTGGGGAGGCACCTTCTTTTGGGAAGAGTGCTCATAATTGAGACGGTGCTTCCACTTCTGATGGACGCGTTTATCACGTGGAGGGAATTCCACTTGATTTCATCGTTGGCAACGACGTCCACGCTGCTCGCAAATTTCGTTTTTGGGTTGTAAGGAACGTAGAAGGGTCTGACCTCTAATAATTCAGGTCGTGCCATTTCAAAGTACTCTGGTTACGAAGAACGAAGAAACGCATCTGCGCAGCGAGCAATCTAGCGACCATACATTAAAATCCCTCAATATTCCAACCGTTGGTGAACCACAACATTTGGCAGTCACGTAGGATGTGGAAATATTTGTTTTCATCCATTTGTAGATTTTGAATACTGGTGCTACGACATCAACGCTGCAATGAGGGGCTCGATATATCAATCTGTTACCTTCTTCTCAAATCACATTGGGTACCCCACTCCTACATATTCAATGTGACTCGGCTCGTCCCTGGAACGGCCATATCTCAACAGGATCAACGCCGCCTAATCCGTGCCTCTCTTCTTTCCCTAAGCTCTCCACCCAAGCCTTGCGTAGCACCTCATTGACTCTAACAGCCTTGTCGTAGTCCTCGCTGCGCACCCATCCGTCGTTCTCGATACCAACAGCTTTTTCGATGCTTTCCCTCGCGTCCTCCATCTCCATCCATGTTCTTTCCTCCTCCTCCGCCTGCGCAATCGCCTCCTTTGAAAAAGTTTCAGGACCGAGGGGACAAGGTACCTCAGGCCCAACGATACTATCCCATTCCGTCGCTGCACGTATGAGGAGTCGCTTGAGCTTGACATACCCCCCGTGCCAGCAAAACTGTGCAGCGGAAGGTAACTGCTGAGCCATCGAAAACTTGTCTCCAAATGACAGAGCAGAAGCCCATACGACATCAAGTCCGGTATCCTGATACAACGCATGGTACGCTTTGCGCAAATACGCTGTCTCCTTCCTTAAATCTTCTTCAGCTTGCCCAGGAGCGGGTTCAACCTGCTCAATGAACCGAGGTATGAGCGCTGTGAGGTACAAAGGTAGAACCGCGGTATGTTGCCAGTCAATGACAGCTGAAATCTCGATGGTACCATCGCGTTCCAAGGCCTCTCGCGACAGGAAAATATTGCCTTGATTCGAATCGCGCAAGGTGAAAGTAGGACGGTGAAGCCGTTCATCGGAGGGGATAAAATACTTCGCAATACTGTCGTATTGATCGAGCAGACGAAGATGGTTCTGCGGTATCTGGAGATGCGAAGGAGGCTCCCATGGAGCGACAAATGAACGACCACCAGCAGCTGGTGGGTTGGCAAATCGCCTGATCCAAACGCGTTCGGATTGGGTGATAGATTGAAGATAAGACGGTACATCTGACCCTGAAAGACGCTTAGATTGTGTTGCTTGTACCCTAGTAATGAGAGACTTACAAGGTCCACAATCAAGTTTTACGTCTTCAGGAGAGCCATAGCGGTCTTCCCAAAAACCTGTTTGCAGTGTGCTGGGTCCAAGAACAAACTCCTGATCGGTTTGGCCATCCACGGAGACATCGCGCGCATCCTCCGCTGGGACATCCTTGCGATAGTACAACGAACCATAACCGCTACTACCACTAAAGGCTTTGATGACCTTTGACTCAAACAGGGTCCACTGGCGTACGAGCCGAAGCCTTTGCTTCATCGACAACTGATGCCAAACTGAATGAAGTTCAACGCCATCCGCAACGTCCATGATGATATACTCGGCTCCAACAGGCGTGTCTTCTGACCTAGACGACCATGATAAGACACGTGGAACCTGTTTCAATCCTAAACGATTGCGTAGAAATTCCATCGTGGCCACTTCGCTCGCAGTGACAAGATGCGGTCGCCCAGAGAGCGGAGTAGGAATCCTAGCAATAACCTGAGCTCCTTCTGTGAGCTGAATATGAAAGACCTTGTTACATCGTCCTTCAGCTAGTTTTCGGATGTCAGTGACACCATTTGCTCTAGCACTAGACGCGGCGACACTCTTTAGTGCGTCGACATTGAACCGTTGGTAGCGCAGTGCTTGCTGGCGCTGTTCGTCATTCAGCCATCGTCCTGAGGTGTACCGAAAGAGGTCCTCATTTGACGCCATGGTACTGAATAGTCGCAGGCGTCGCAAGTTGGACAAAGAAAGGGATTGAGGAGACAGGATGATAGAGAGGATAGACGTATAGAATCCTATTCGACGCTGTTCGGAGTTGGGAAGAATGATGATGACGTCTATAGTTGCGATAGTCAGGCTCAGAGAGCGCTCAGAGTAGAGAGAACCAGAACCAGGTTCAGGCCGGTAGGGAAACTCTCCCTATCGTCTGCCTGGTATACACAATACCATAGAGTCTAGACGGCTAGTCTGTGTGACAGGCTCCGTCACTCCATTTTGACTCCATCCACACCTCTCATTCATACCCCATTCACACGTCTAACAACTACAGCTCAGCGCTCATTGCCCGCCGTGTCAGCAGGTGATCCTATTGCTCTCTTATCTACCAGTCGGATAGGAGTCAGATGAGCACCCAGCAGGCACACCATTCTATTGTGAGCATTTGCGTCCTCAACGTCTCCCATCTGACCAAAAATCTAAAGTTGTCTGTCATAAAACATACCCCCTATCATGGGCGCCCACATTCGATGCACATGCACCTCTCGGATGGAGTAATTACAGGCACACCTACCGACCAGTTTAAGCATTCCAATGTCAACCTACTAGTACGAAGGAAGGTATAAAAGACCAAGCACGATAGCTGCCTGCCTAACTTCAAAACGCACACATCGTCCAAGAAGTATGCATCAATACCAGCTTTTACAGGTTATTCGAGTACTCACCCACTTCCCCAATAGTGTCATTCTCAGTTTCAAAACTCAAAGTTCTCGCGAAGGCATTCTTCCCCAACATGCGCGCAAAGCCTTCGCAAATAGCCAAACTTGTCAAGGGGACCAAGGACAATCAAGGCGGACGTCTCGCCCCAGCTCGCTCCGCCAAAGAAGATGCTAAATTTAAATGTCGCGCTGATCAAGGCGAATTTAGAGACGACGGAACGTACAACGTGGTTGTACAGGAGAATGGTGACCCGCATGGTGCTCCCATCGCCAAGACACTTGTCGACCCGAAGGTTGATACGGGAGAAGATGTTCTGAAACGCCTGGAGGATGACTGGGGTAAAGCAAAGTAGATCTACGGCCACAGTTTATGTCGCGAACAGAGGAGTGACTAGTGCAGCTCCACGGTGCTACGGAATAACATGGGTTTGAAGGACTTAAATAAATACGGTATCGATAGCCTACCAGAATCCTAGTAAACATGTTCTTGCAAATCCCTAGAACTCGTAATGTTTAAGTTTCCGTCCATAGTTTTTAATACTGTGTTGGCGTCAAGATGCCGAAGGTCGGGGTGTGGATGCCGATGGGGCTCGTGTTTCATGAATTTCAGCCTGCGTAACAATATTGCTAGATCTGCTTGGAGGTGGGTCACCCCACTCCAGCAGGCCACCTAACGGTATGTGCTGCACTACAACCCGCTTGCCTAGAACTTCAGCCTAGCGCTCGCTGCTTAGTTAGGTAATTCAGTTGAAGACTTTTATGGACACATACCTCGTACATCTTGAATAAACCTGAATTTACTTTGTTCCAGCTAGCCACGCCCACAGCAATGGAGTGCAGCTGAGATGAGTGTTCATGAAAAGGTCCTTGTTTTACTTCGTTAATACGAGAAATCGCCATAAAGTACAAGTTCGTGGGAGGTAAAGGCGGATGAATGGCTGCAGATACTGCGATCCTTGTTTGACCTGCCAGAAATAATGTCATTGAACGCACACCAGAAGATGGGGAAATACCTACCTCTCAATTGCGCACTTCCAAAGATATATGGGAGAAAACAGGAGTCATCCAACCCCCACACACCATGACTCCCTGCTGGTTCAAGCCTGTACACATCCTGGAGTTTCCAACAAAGGCGAAGGTATCGGACGAATACGACGAGCACCAGCTCACGTTCCTCTTCGGGGACCGGTTGGAAAAAACGAACAAGTGTTAGACAAAGGAGGAACAAGCCAAACGAAACTTCGTGGCCACTCCCGTAGTCCATACGCGTGAAGGAGCCAAACGATGTCAAAAAGTATGGTTTGACGAACGGGATCAAACTGCTGTGGGTAGGGCTGAGTAGATTCGATAGCACTTCGTCAGACCTCTGAAAGACCTCGTCAGATTGCGTAACGTATCGTGAGGATCTGGCTGCCGACCTCCTCCAAACGCGTACCCCAAGTTCTGAATGCGAGATTTCCGAAACGTTGTGGGGTTTCCAGTGGAGGAATTTCGTCAACCCATTGATCTAGGGTGTCCAGAAGATCTAATATTTTTGTCACAGCCTACAGAGCTAGCATAACCAGCTGTGAAACCGGACGAATACGATAGATCCTACCTGGCTATGACCAGGAGAAGTGTACGGCAGATAATGCCCTACGACCGATTCATTCAGCCGACGCAGGAAAATGCCATAGTCCTGGTACGACTGGGTCGTTCGCCACTTGTCGACGTCGTAATCTGATTTAATCCTGGGCGTTGGGTGAGATTTCAAGCGAGCAACATCAGCCAAAGATATTTCTCGGAGTTGCTGCAAGTAATTTGACATAGGATCATGGAAACCACGTCACAGCGTGACCGGTTTCTACTTACAGCACGGCAACGACGGACTCGAAAACTGTGCAGTCTTGACTGTTGCGGCCACCATGGACAGACTTGAGTCGCTCTCGACGACTCTTCAAAACATTACCCTCTATGACATCAAAAGCATGTACAACCAGGTCCAGTTTTCGTCAATCATGGCCAACGTTGTCCTGACCCTCAATGTAGGCCAAGAACGTCGTCCTCAACGTGAGCGAGATGGAGGCCAAGGTCAGGGAGGCTACCAACGACGATCCCTGGTGCGTTCTTTTCTTCCCGTGAAGGTGTTTCTCCCGAGCTGAACTGGGTGCGCTAGGGGCGCGAGCTCGACGCTGATGCAAGAGATTGCGCAAGGGTAAGCACATCACTTTAACCGGGTCTAAAACTCATATTGGGATGATATCGTTGTGTAGGACATTCAGCTTGTGAGTTATTATGGTCTGCAGTCGCGAAGATGTTTACTGAGTGTTCTGTTGATAGCCAACACTTCAATGAAATTATGCCCTGCATATATGCCCGATTCATGGAGAAGGAGGCTAGGCAGTGGCGGCAGATATACAAGGTACGGTCCTCTTCCGAATAGATGCACAGTTTTCATGCCTAATGGTCTCTACATTAGGCTCTCCAACTCCTTGAATACCTCATCAAACACGGATCAGAACGTGTGGTTGATGATGCTCGTTCACATATATCCACCCTCAAAATGCTTAGAAACTTTCATTATATTGATGATAAGGGCAAGGACGAAGGCATAAATGGTATGTATGTCGCCTACACTTCATATGTGAAATCTCTTACATTGCCACAGTCCGTAACCGATCTCGGGAACTCGTCGAACTCTTGTCAGACGTAGAGAAAATACGTGGTGAACGCCGAAAAGCTAAAACAAACAAGAGCAAGTACGTTGGTGTTGGCAACGACGGCATGACCGGTATGTCGTTTAGTGGTTCTGGAGGGCGATATGGTGGCTTCGGCAGTGATAGCCTTGGAGGTGGCAGTGGCTCTAGTTACGGAAACGGCGAGTTCACCTTTTTGTCTTTCTCAATCATTGATTCTAATAGCCAGAAACAGACTATGGAGGGGGAGGTTCATACGGCGCTGGTGGTAGCGGCAATGCGGGTGGATTCAGCGACAACAACGGTCGACGTGGGTACGAGGAATACAATGCTGGAGACGACGAGGTTCCGCACACCACTACACCTCCAACTCTTCGCTCCTCGAACTCAATTCGCAATACCACAAGGAAAGCTAGTGCCCCTGCCGCACCTCCTCCTGCACCAGTGGAAGACCTGCTAGGGGGATTTGACGATGATACCTTCAGCACCCCTGCCCCCGCCCCATCTTTGGCCACCAACAAGGCGCTTCCTGTTGTCTCGAAAGCTGTAGTTACCCTTGATGGTCAGTGCTTCTTTCTAATTCACTCATGGTGAACGACCGCTCATTTCGAAACAGACGATGACTTTGCAGACTTCCAAGCAGCCCCAGTTCAATCTGCACCTGCCGTTGCACCCGCTCCAACAACGAAACCGAACCTCATGGAAATGCTCAACTCTTCCCCAGCACCTCCAGTCATGTCCACTACTACCACCAATTACGGCCAGCCTTCAGCCGGTTTTCGTAACATGGGCACGGGTTTCAACAACATGGGGATGGGAGGACGCATCGGAGCAGGACATCGTCCATCCCCTTCAGTCTCCTCCCAGTCATCGCAGTTTTCCTCTCCACTCGTCCCCCAACAAACGTCGTCGCAGAACTTCTTTGGCGGTGCGCCGATGAAGCCATCCACACCCGTAGGAGGAGCAGGAGGACGCCCTGCCTCCACGCAGCCTGCGGCCGCGAAACCGAGCGCGAACTTTGACGATCTGTGGTCTCTTTCCCTTGGAAGTTCGGGGGCGACGAAGCCTGGTACTGGTCCTGCCAATCCGAAATCGATAAAGGACTTGGAGAAGGAGAAGGCGTTGGCTGGGCTGTGGGGTGGTACAAGTGATCTCAATACGCGTGGTGCTATGGGTGGTGGGTTTGGGTCTTTTGGTGGTGCTGGCGGTACGAGCTCTTCTTCGAATGCGGGTGGAGATGATTTGTTGTTGTTGTAGTCGCGATAGACTTTCTTTTCTTTCTTCTTTATTTAAACACAACGTTGGGCAACGTTATCCTCATTCTTGCTTCTTGTGCCCTTTGAACACCTCAAACCTCGTTCTTCTCTGAATTCTCATCACGCGGACACCATCTGGCAGTCCACTCCAATTTCCACCGACTTCATACTTCCAGGATAATCCGCGAAATTTTACACCTCTGACTAGATCATCCGCAACGAGTCTAATCTATCACGCATCCTGAGTTGTTTGGAGCTAGGACGAACGAGCATTGACGCTCGTCTACGCCAACACAATGTCTCTCCCCCTAGAACTAGTCCAAGAAATCATCCATCTCCTACTCTTCTCCGCCCCACCACGCTCCTCAACTCCAGAAGGACTCGGCCATTCAATTAAACCCAGATGGGGCACGATCAATGCCCTCAGCCTCACTTCACAAAGCTATCGCGCCCTAGTGCTCGAAGCGTGGTTTCGCACTCTCTACATCGAATCGCCAGGGGATCTTATCTTTTTACGGGACTCGGGCTGGTTTCCTGAACTGGGGAGTAAATGGACGAGACACCTCCACTGCGTCCGATCATCCAGTGACGCTTGGAACCTTTCCGCCTTCCTCCAACTTTCCTCCATTAGACTGGACTGGCTCCCGCCGCACGCTAACTTGGACACGCTACCCTTTTTACACGTCTCCTCCACGGTTGAACACTTTGACTTGCGTGGAAGGTGGTGGCCTAAGCCTGAGGCGGTTCAAACTATCACTAATACCCCAGGCTTTGGGTGTCTGAAGACATTGAAGATGGTGCTAGATGTGGTGTGGTGTGGAATCTGCCACACGTGCCATTTGGTCCGGCTCAAAGACAGGCCGACGGGGGTGGTATATGAGGGGGGTTTGGGGTTGCCTTTCGACTATGCGCGTGTTCTAGCGCCACTTGAATACCTCGAAGAGGTTGTGATTATTACACCCAACCGTGGCTCTGGGTGGACTACATTGGGTTCGTATGCAGGCACAAACCCAGAGATGACCCCCACCTCCAACACAAACGTAAACCCGAACTTATGGTCGGGTGAATGCAATATCTGCGTGCGGGTGGCGTACAAAGAGGATGCGTTCCGCGAGGAGTGGGTGGCTAGGAAGAGACGCGTCGGTCTGGCGTACGGTGATGGTGATAGCGATGATGGTGAGAAAGATCCGAGGCCACCAAGGTTGAGGAGGGTGGAGTATCGGTTCTCTACAGGGTATCTTTGAGCACTAATACAGGTCAATCACGATGTAATCCGCATTTCTTCGGGGTGGATTCCTCTACGGGGTGAGACTCCCTGCCTTACATGCTTGTGCACAAGTTGACTGTTGTGCGCTTTACAGCTCCACCAAAAAAAAAAAAAGAAACAAGAAAAGAAGAAGCCGGTGCCTTCACAACCAGTTGTTACTCATTGGGACAGCTCCGGAACATATTCGCCTGGCTCACAAAAAAGTTCAGAAAAGCCGACCCATCCTTGTATGTTTTTAAATCTAGTTTTTGCAGTGCTTGGACCTCTGTTGATTGTTCCCTTCGAGCAACAGCATAACATATAGCGTGCTGGCGGTACGAGCTCTTCTTCGAATATGGGTGGAGGAGATGATTTGTTGTTGTAGTAGTCTTTGATGATTTGTTGTGTGCCATAGGCGATAGACTTTATTTTCTCTCTTCCTCTTCAATTTATTCAAACACAACGTTGGGCAACGTTATCTGACCATTTCCTCTTGCTTCTTGTCCCCTTGAATACCTCAAATCTCATTGGGGACGATACTAGTACCAACGTCTACACCTCCACCATCTGGCAGTCCAATCCAGTTTACGCCATCTTCATGAGTGCTACCAGGATAATCCGTGAAATTATACGTCCTAGCCACCTCTGACTAGATCATCCGCGGCGCTAAGCCTAATCTGATCACGACAAACGTACTATGCATCCCGAATTGCTTGAGTTCCAGGACGACATTGACGCCCGTCTACCTTTACTCGGCAAAACAATGTCTCTCCCCCTAGAACTAGTCCAAGAAATCATTCATCTCCTACTCTTCTCCGCCCCACCGCGCTCCTCGACTCCAGAAGATCCCGGCAATTCAACTAAACCCAGATGGGGCACGATAGATGCGCTCAGCCTCACTTCACAAAGCTGCCGCGCCCTAGTGCTCGAAGCCTGGTTTCGCACTCTCTACATCGAATCGCCGGAGGATCTAATCTTCTTACGGGAGTCGGGCTGGTTTCCTGAGCTAGAGAGTAAATGGACCAGACACCTCCACTGCGTCTTAGAATCATTCAGCAACGCTTGGAACCTTTCTGCCTTCCTCCAAGTTTCCTCCATTAGACTGGACTGGCTCCCGCCGTGCGCCAACTTGGGCACACTACCCTTTTTACACCTCTCCTGCACGGTTGAACACTTCGACTTGCGTGGAAAGTGGTGGCCTACGCCTGAGGCGGTTCAAACTATCACTGATACCCCAGGCTTTGGGTGTTTGAAGACATTGAAGATGGAGCTAGACACGGTATGGTGTGGAATTTGCCAGATGTGCTGTTTGTTCCCGTTTAAAGGCCGGCCGACGGGAGTGGTATATGAGGGGGGTTTGGGTTTGCCTTTCGACTATGCGCGTGTTCTAGCGCCACTTGAATACCTGGAAGAGGTTGTGATTATTACACCCAATTACCGCCCAGGGTGGACTACATTGGCTTTGAACGCAGACACAAACCCAGAGACGACCCCCACCTCCGACAGAAACGTAAACCCGAACTTATGGTCGGGTGAATGCGATATCTGCGTGAGGGTGGCGTACAAAGATGATGCGTTCCGCGAGAAGTGGGTGGCTAGGAAGAGACACGTCGGTCTGGCATACGGTGATGGTGATAACGATGATGGCGAGAAAGGTCTGAGGCCACCAAGGTTGAGGAGGGTGGAGTATCGCTCACAAAAAAGTTCAAAACAGCCGACCAACAGCCGACTCATGTTGTTTTTAATCTAGTTTTTCCAGTTTTTGGTCCTCTGTTAGATTCGAACCCAGTTTCCGATGGTAGTAACTCGCTATGTTTGATCTGAGAGGGAATGCAGTATAGAATCCGAGAAAATGTGGAAGTTTTGTATTTGGAATATATATAATCTATAACGGCTGGTATCGAGACTAGTCCTCTGTTAACTTGATTGTCTGCTTCGGCGTAACATATAGCGTGCTCGCGGTACGAGCTCTTCTTCGAGAGGAGTTGATTTGTTGTGGTAATCCTTTTCTTTCTTCCTTCTTCAAAAATTTCAAACACGACTCTGTTGGGTGGCATTATCTGACCATACTTATAGTGGTCGTACACTATTACAACAAATGTGGTACTACACTTGACCACAAGTTACTACAACCCCTCATCATACATCTTCCTCGAAAGCGCCACATAAAACCTCTCCAAATCCGCCTTTGACGCTAACTCGTTCTTCTTCCTCCCCAATCCCTCCTTATCCATGCGTTTCTTCATCTCGCTCGGTCTCTCTCCCCCCTTCCCCGTCGTACCGTTTCCGTTTGCGCTTCCAGCGACGGTGTGTACGACCATACGTTCCGCTAGCACCCTCGTCGTCGTCGTTGTCGATTCATTACCGCTGCTGTCCTTTTCGACCTCGACGACCTTACTCTGGACGGTCTTCGCCGTCGTCGTCGTCCCACCATTTTTACTAGGTTTCCCGCCAACTAGAAGCTGAGGCGCAGGTATCTGATCAATCAGCCAATCAAACACCGAAGAAAGCTTGTCCGTGGACGAACGCACACCCTCGTCGTCTCGTGGAGCCGCAGCGTCAACCTGTGAGCCCTGCATGCCTTTGTTGTTTCCCATAGGCACAGCTGATGGCATCTTCCCTTCTTCTTTTTCCAAAGGCGCAGACTTAGCAGACGCAGCAGCGGCAGCATCGTTCCTCTTCTTTTCCTCCTTCTTCCACGCACCCACGAACCGTCCCCAATCACGGAAACCCCATCCGTCGCCTGGCGAGTATGCAGACGACGACGACGACGACGAGGTGGGTGACGAACCCGAGAGGCCAGAGTTCGAGCTCGAGTTCGAGTTCGCGTTACCACCACCAAGGCCAATGACAGGCAACGCCGGCAAATCAACACCAAACTCAATCCCTCTAGCACCCCTCATCTCCCAATGATCACACCCTTCCTTAATCCCCAAAAACTCGCCCCATTTCGCGCTCTGCACAGTGACCAAACCGTCGTTGCCCCATTCCCGCTCGTTGGCCCATAACGCCGTTTCCTTTTTTTCAGTGTCGTTGTCGCTCTCTTCTTCCTTCTTTTTAAGCCGACTTCGTTCCTTCTCTTCGACCCCGTCCAATACCATCTTGGGTAACCAGAATGGATGCCAGATGTTCACGTCTGGCATGCGTCCTGCTACGCTGAAGTATTTGACGTTTGGGTCGTCTGGTGTGTTGGGGTTGAAAACGTCGTTTAGGTATGAGGATGTTAGGTTGGAGTAGGCGGGCGAGTCGACGATGGAGAGGAGGAGGGTGGTGAATGAGGAGGGGAGGGAGGAAAGGGAGAGTGTAAATGATGATGAGGAGGAGGAGGAGGAGGAGTTGGATGTCGGGGGTGGCGGTGGTGTGGGTGGAGGGGGAGAAGGAGTAGAGTAGTGGTCGTATTCGTCAAAAGGAGATGCGTTCTTGGCGTGTTCGCATTCTTGTTGGCGTAGTTTACCAATTCCGATGTTTTCCTGGGGTGTATAAAAAATACATAAATCATCATCATCATCAAGACGGCGTGAAAAAACTAACCGCACACCAGTCCATAAACGGACTTCCACGATGGGGAGTGCTGATCGACGTAAGCGAAAGCGGGGCATACTCCGCTGGCCGGATACGAGAAATCAAATGTCGACAATCCAAGCCACCCATGGAGTGCGCGAGGAAGTTGACGCCGCGCCCTCGTGCATGGGATTGGAGTTGGCTGTCGAGCTTTTCGGCGCGAGAGGAGATGGAGCCTGTTCTAGATGGGTTATGGATGTATGTGTTGGCATGATGAAGAGCAAAAATGAGCTTTTACTTACCCCGGCACGGAGGTAACGATCACCTCCGCCCCCACCGTTCCTCGCAGGATGCGCAGGACGTTGGTCCAGTAGTGCATACGCATACTGGGGAAATTGGATGGTCCGCGCGAGTCGAATCCGTATAGCCCTACTCATGCTCTGTAAATGCACTTTCTTGAGGATGGATTGAAAACGCACCATGACAGAGAACGATGGGGTACCGCGGGGTTCGTAGCGGATCATAGAGTGCGGGGTTGACCAACAGCTGATGGATGATATCCGGGGGGAGAGCGTTCGGTTTCTCTGACTCGGACTCGGGAAGAGGATCTTTCTGCGGCGAGGGGGGGTCAGAGCGAGGAGGAAGGTTGATGTTCGGAGGTGGGGGTGGTTGTGATGGTTGAGGCTCTTCCAAGTCAGGAGAGAAGAAGACAGAGGACCAGTTCCAGTCGTTTGTTATCCAGGGCACGGAAATCGCGTTTGCTGGTGCGCTATTAACGCTTGGTAAATAGATAGTAGAAAAAAGTGCAAACCTTTTTGAGCAGCACGATCATTGTCGGTTGGGTGTTTGTGGACGAGATATTGGTTTGAGATGGATAGCGTAGAGACGACATTGACGAGTCGTTTGAGCAGAACGACGACGTGTACTGGGAAATAGACGCTGTTCATGGCATTCCAAAACCAACTTGCTCTTCTTCAGTCATTCATTCCACTCGGCCCGGGCTTTCCCGGTCAACAGACGACAATTTTGACGAGTTCCGCTCGTCCTGCTTGCCTAAAATTTTGAATGTGTGCTCAGTGTTTGTATTAGACAGTGTATATAAAAAAACACTGAGAGTAAGCCTAGCACAGGAAGTATGGCAGCCAAACTTCATCCAACTCTCACTTCACCCATTTCGGACATTTTATAAATGATGAATTCCATCGAAACTCTCCAAGCTGTATTGTATGTATCAAGTAAACATGTGCAATTCTTTTTCGAAAGAGCAGGAGCAAGGGAATGGTATGAAAAGTGAAATCCATATGATATACATGTAGCAAGACTAACCAAGATCTAGAGGGAAGGACAAGCATAGCAAATACAAAACAACAAACAAAAGTTACCCACGCCTTTCAGGTTCAAACAATTTCTCTCAATAAATCAATCAAAATCCTCGCCACCATTGCAGCTCCACGCCCCACTCTCTCCCTCTCCCACCCGTCAGGAACCTTCTTCAAATATCGCCCTTCGAACCGGTCAGGATGCCACTTCTTGATATGCTCCCTCAGTCTCTGCTTCAACCTCGCTTTATCCCTCCGCAGATCAAACCCCAACATGATATAAGCTGAAACCGCGTCGAGGGTGAGATCGTCTGGGCTTCTGACAGCAACCCTCAAGACGGGCCAAGGGATGTCGTACCAACGAAGAGATGTGTATTCGGCGACGTAGGACCACTGTTGGTCGTGGAAGAGAAGGAGTTTGATGGCGTCTTCGTCGGACAAAGGGCCATCTGCACATTTCCGGAACTCTTCCTGCTGCCGCTCGTGTTCTTCTCGACGTTCCCGCGCAGCCGCTTCTTCTGGCATTTGGAGGGGCTGACCATCGAGGATCCCAGTATCTGTCCACGTAGAGGACGCGGCGTTATGGGATGTTGGCTGGGTGGATGGTATGGACGTGGTCGAACGTTCGACTTCGTCAGGTATGGTGGTCTCGCGCGATGGTCTTCCGACTCCAAAGGGTGTGCCCTTCTTCCTCTCGATGGCCTCCAAGATGTCCTTCTGTTCTTGAAGAGCAGAAGACCATTCTTCCGGCATTACCCCACATTGGACAACCCTTTCTCTCCCCCCTCGCTCCCTCTTAATTGCATCTTCGTACTCCGCCCCAGCGCTGGCCTGAAGAAATTCTACATAGCTGAAGTACTCCGCCATGAGTTCGGATCGTTTTTCCTCGCACGTCCGTTGTACGTTGGCGATCTGAAACTCGTAAGACGTCCGAGCATCTTCTAACATTTTTTTGAGGTTGTCTTTGATCTGGCTCTGTAATGCACGCTTCCAGGCGGCCTCTGGTTCAAAATCTACGTGGATCCCTGACATTCTGAGGGTAATGAGCGTAGAACGCGAAGGTTGGCCGAAAATTTCTACAAAATATGGTGAGGGAAAGCCATTCGAAAGCATAAATGTCCTTACAAAATTTCTGATGTGGAAATCTTCCAAGGTTTTCAAAGAGTGATGCACCGTACGAACAACAGACTTCTCAAATAACAAAGGGTAATAATCGTGAAACACTCCAGGTTGGTTGAAATTCCCTACAAAATATGGTGAGGGAAAGCCATTTGAAAGCATAGATGTCCTTACAATTTTTTTTGATGTGCAAATCTTCGAAGAGAAAGTGTTTTTACTGATGCACCGTATATGACGACCGAGGGTGATAAACGTAAAACGGTGAAGGTTGGTCGAATTATAAGGTTAGAAAAGGCCAAATAAAACATAAATGTCCTTACAAAACTTTCTGATGTGCAAGAGAAGGGTTTTAAAAGAGGAGTAACGTCAAGCACAGTGAAGTAGATTTGGTTCCTTGTATGCCGCCAAGTTTGTGAATTTGTGACTTTTGCTTAGTCATCGCACTTGCATTGCACAGCCACTTCAAAATGTGTTCACGTTCATGCAGCAGTTGTGGAGAAGATAGAAATAACCACATAGCGCGCCTTCGGGCGCAAAACCCGATACCCAATTTTCTTAGCCATCCAAACATCATTCATAAAGCTACATATTTGGGTGGTACAACATTTTTCGTTGTTTGTCGCTAGTCACCAGGCCCCTTTTATCACAAGTCATGGACGCAGTTCTTGTACTAAGTTATCCTCGCAGGTCGACTCGCGGTTACAAAAAGAACTGTATTTAAACCAAATTTAAACAAGAGATTCCCCCAGTCATACTTAAGCCTCTGAAGAAGCAGTTATTAGAACAAACAGATACAAAACATCCTCAAAAGCTGCCAAAAATAAAGACAAGAAGACGGAAAGAGGAGAGGCGGGCAGAGCCGACATGCAAAAGATCCTCAAAAGTGCCAAAAATAAAGGCCATGGTGCCATGTCTGGAACCAATTTTAAAAAGAATCAAAAATCAAAAACTCCATAGCTTGTCCACCATAAATTATCTTATTTGAAAGAGTGACTTAGCTCAACGGAAAGATTTGATTGAAACTGGTAATGTATGGCGAGGTCTCCAGTTCAATTGCCGCAGGCATCAATTTCTTTTCTCAAAAATATATTTGCTCTGACTTCTTCTTACTCTCCTATTTACATTTTTATGCACCAAAAATCTCACACCACCACTTAGAAATTTATAAACACCAGAAAGTATGGATATAACTCAAACCAATAGATTGGGAAAGAATTCATGAGAATTGACATTTTCCCCTTCCACCTCTTCCTGCACATGCTTGCATCTGATCCTCTCTTGCAGAATCAAAGCAGACCATGCACCTCCTTTTTCTTGAAGTAGAACTGGATAATCCTAGTAGTGCTTTCCACTGTAAAATTTACCTTGTGCATTTTGGCCAAAAGAAATAAGAGAAATTCTCTGCTGAAGGCTCCTCTGGGTGTAAACTTGGAGGTTTTACTCAATATATATAACCATGCCTGAGGACATGGATGCCAAGGAAATTGATGCAATACCTGTTGTTGAGAGTGCAGACATATTTACTTTTCTCCAAATTTTCTTTCCCCAGGGCTGTTGATTCCCCATGCTCTCATTAAAAATGGTTCAAGAATTCTGCAGCATAGTTGAATCCTCTGCTAGATTTTTCTCCTTTTATCAATTCATTCTGCCACTTTGTTTAGTTAATTTATGGTAAAAAATTCAAGGTGCTCATGAATTTTATTGCGAGCAAAGCGAGCAATCCTTCCCTATAGCGCAAAAGTCCCAAACAAACAAGAACAAATTCCGTATTCGCAAAGGTGGGCTCAACTAGAGAACTCAGCCATTCCAGCTGTATTTCGTACCTTAAGATCCCCAGAATTCACTATACATTTGCACCATCAGCTAAGGTCATGAAGATTCCAAAAAACCCACTAATTACTGTTGGAATTTCAAGCGCATCACGCTCATGGGAGCAATGATTGTGTTGTTCCATAGTTTCCCCTTCATCATTCCGTACATCATTTTGCCCTTCAGGTGACCACGTTTATTTCAAATTGTAGTATGTATTTAGGTAGTCAGCTGTAATCTGAAGACCTCGCGCGTTTGCGAGGGTCCCTATTCAACCCGAGTGTTCACGACGACCTGAATATTTCAACAATTACGCCTTACAAAATGGTCTTCTGCAATACTGTGCTTGCCACAGATACTGTACGCGTGACGTTGTCGTGACAGTGACAGGACGCGTCACCGTTACCATTTGGTTAATAATCATCCCAAGATCATGATGTGCACAATGAACTCGGATGTACAGGATATATCATAGACAAACGTTACGATACACGGAAATGCGTAGCTACAGAAAGCAGCTACTGTTGTCTAAAGTCAGCCTTGTCTGAAGTACTCTGCAAGTACTCTGATTGCTGTGCGAGCTTTACCCGCGGGACTCGCAGACATTTATAGAAATTATTCTTACAATTGGCCTTTCCTGATAATCAGGGAGCCATAGCTTCAAAATTAGGATCCTGAGGAGGTGAGAACCAGACACCATGGAGGGATACAGATGTTTCTTCCATTTGATTTTTTTGTTTGTGATCTGGCATTTCCTGCATTGTGCTCTTCCTCAATATGAGTAGCTCTGCAATGACCTATTTTTTAGTGCTACTTTGCATGTTCAACAACGGAAATTGGTGCAGTAACAGGCAAGATACATGTTGAGCATGCAGAATTAGTAGTAGTAATCGTGTGACTCAAGCACTCTGATTACTGAATATGTTTCAAATGGACTATGTAGCTATCGCACGCCATAGCTAGGGCATATAAAACTGCAGCTCAAGATCGACTCTCAACATCACTTCGCACTACTTCTCTTCTCCAACAATGTCTTTTTCCCAAAACAAATTGAACATTTTCGTCACTGGCGGTACAGGTGTGTACTGTTCCTCTGGTCCTGTCGTATACCCAGGTACCCAACGCTGACATCATGCAGGATACATCGGGGGAGCTGTTCTCTCTCGCCTCATCCAACACCCCGACGCCAAGTCCTTCGAGATTTCAGCTCTAGTACGCACAGCGGAAAAGGCTAAAAAGCTCGAGACGCTTGGTGTTCGCCCAGTGATTGGGTCATACTCTGACCTGAAGGTTCTCACTGAAGAAGCCGCTAAAGCCGACTATGTTATCGCTTTGGTCGGTATACCGAGTCTTTGTAGATCTTTGACATTCATTGAGCTGCTCTGTGATAGGCTGATGCGGACGCGTTGCCTGCTGCTGAGGCTATCTTGGCTGGTTTGAAACAGCGACATGAGAAAACGGGGACTGTTCCAAAGCTGATACACACCGTGAGTGGCCTCACAAATGTCGAGCAATCAAATGGCTGATTCAGGTGTCTCATACCAGTCTGGCACTGGTTCGTATATTGTCATGACAAGGATGTACATAGGCTAACATCAAAGCAAAGCTTTCATCATGGACAACGCAAAGGGCATGCATGGAGATCATACAATCTACAGCGACTTGTATGCAGACGCTATCGCGGCTTTGCCTGAAACCGCACCACACAGACACGTCGACATACCCATTATCGGGGCCAATTTGGAAGGCTACGTGAGGTCATATATCGTCGCTCCAGGTGCGTTCTATCGTTGTTTTATATAAGGCATCGGCCTTACTAAATAAACCTGTAGGAACTGTCTTTGGCACCGTCTCAGGACCCCTAGTTGATCTGGGTATCCAAAACGAACACTCTATTCAATTCCCCCTGCTCTTCAAAGTCGCCATCGCCCGCAAACGATCAGATTACATAGGCCTCGGGAAGAACATCTGGCCAGCCGTCGAGGTTAACGACAGTCAGTTCCTGGCTTCCTTCTTCCTTCCTTTCTTTCTTACGCTAACACGAACTAGCTGCCGACCTATACTTGATACTCTTCAACGCCATCCGCTCCAACCCAGACAGTGTACCTTTCGGCCAAGAGGGCATATACTTTGCGGAAAGCAGCGAGTATACGGGCTACGAAATTGCCAAAGCTACATCTGAGGCTCTTGTCGAGCTGGGGGTGAGTCAGCCTCACGAGCCTACTGCGTTCAAGCCAGAAGAGCTTGATCAGTACTTTGGGGTGTGTACACCCTTCTTTGCTTTCAATCTAAACTGTAACTAACTGTTGCGCCCATTGGATTTAATAGAAATTCTGGCCGTTCTTGTCAACCAACTCTCGTGCACGAGCTGATCGGTCCCGTGCGCTTGGCTGGAAGCCTACTCATGGAAAAGATGCACTGCTAGCGAGTATAAAGCCGGAGGTGGAGTATTACTGGAACGAATCACGCAAGTAAATCGAAAAAAAAATGGAGCATTGAGTCTATAAATGTATGTAAATGTATGGATATAACCAAGGAATGGTGGTAATACAGAATTGCAAGTAAAATGAATGTCAGTTATTCTTCAAAGCAGCCTGAAACCCCCGCACAAGTTTAGCAATCTCCCTCACCCACCTCTCCAACTCCTTAGGCGGATACGCCTTGCCCATCACACTCGCATTATCCTTCACACCTATCGTACACCCAAACAAGAACTTGATAAACTCCTTCACCTCCTCCTCAGACCCTCGCCAGAGCCGAATCCCAGCATAGGAGATGATAGCGTGGATCGCTTGAACGTGTTCTATCGACTTTACGTTCTTCAATAACACACGCACGCATCCGATCGTTTGTGTGCGGCGTAGGAAACCGTGGGTGTATAGCTCGCCGATGAACTTGGATAGGGCCAGCGCGGAGGAGACGTACGCCCCATATTGAGCTGTAGGGGTTTTCTGAATCGTGATGGCACCTTTATTATCCTGCCGAAGACGAGGAGTTATTACTTTAGCTGGCTTGAAAGCAAAAAGAAACGGACTAACCGCATCAACATGCCAACACGCCACAAACGTCCTCAACAAACTCTCTCCAAGCGACCGTGCAAAAAAGGTATGTAGGCCCTCCCAAGGCATACTCTCAAACGTCCTATACACCCTCTCAGCAAACGCAGCCAGCGAATCAACCTCACCCATACACCCCGCTCGCTGCGCAGCTCTATATACGAAAAAACGAGCCAGCTCGCTCACGCTCTCTTCGTCCCACATCGTATCGTGGCCTTGTTCCACCAAGTTTATCGCGTACTGGTTGAGTGATGCAGGCGTTGAGGCGCGTACCCCGTAGTGAAAGGTGCGGTACCACGCAGGGGCGTGCACAAGGGGGCGGAGTTGGGTGCACCATATGCTGCGTTTCGTTGGGTCGGATTGGTTCCAGTTGATGCCTGCGAGGAGGTCTTGGGAGAGGGTGGTGGGTCGGCTGAGTTCGTTGGCTTTGATTTGGGGTGGTATGTCTGTGATGGTCCACTTCGTCGGTGGCTCGGCCGTGGAGGAAGAGGAGGAAGGAGTGAAAATTTTCTTGATCTCGTCGTCCTCTAGGGTGAGTGTGCTGCTTGTCCTACTGCAGGCCGTGATAGTAGTAGTAGTAGTTGAAGACGAGGCTGAACCGGAGCCTGAAGTTGAGGAAGAGGCACCACGGTGGTGCTGTTGGTTCTCTCGTTTCGGGTCACGATAACTTGAATAATCCGAGGTCTGAATTGGAACTCGAACTTGACGAAGGGGAGGCGGCAGAGTGGCTTTATGCTGCTGCTCATACAAGACCCCACGGAGTAGAGAAGAAGTGTAATTATGTTTCGAAAGCCGGGGTGGTGGTGGTGGTTCGTAAACAGTAGTGAAGCGAGGAGGGAGGACCATATTGGGATTTGAATGAATGATTTTATATGTTTGTTGTTAAGTGGGATCTCCGTTGGTAGGTAGGGTAGGTAGAAACAAAGGAGTGGAGGGCGTCTTTGTTGTGTTGGAGGTGAATGGAACGTTGAATGTATGTTGCTATCCTACCCTGTCCCCGTTTCCTATTCTTATAATACGAGGAAAAAGTCAAAGCGGGACCACGCGCGGAAACGAACACAGCAGCAGTTGAGAAATGGCCCTTCCAAGTCGAACATGGCGGGGTGGCTGGATTAATATTGGCTGGTACGGCAACCCCGTGCCTGGGTATGCTCTATGTCGAGAGGGCAAGACGGGCGAAACGACCACTGTAGAAGATGCGAGAACGATTCCGCAGGACCTTGGAGATGACGACTGGAACAAAGAGAGGAGAAGGGTCGTTCCTAGACATGCGTTTGAAATTACATAGACCCATTTAGATTGACGATAGGGTCAAGGCTGGTCAAGGCGACCAGACCTTGGCATTAGCCACTGTCCACTTTCATGAAAAGCTGGCCAAAATCCAATTTAATGGTGTCCACTCGGAATGTGTGGCTTTGAAGATGGACGCGTTGAAGCAAGAGTTGGACGTGTTTGCCTTGTGCCAAAAATGAATTTGTTCGTACAGTAGATAAAAATACAGTGATTATAACGTCGTCGTAAAAGCGTGCTTCTAGTGGTAGCAGGAAAGCAAACTATGCATCTAGTAGAGTAGATGAAAATATTACGCGCTTGTAGAGCCAGCTCAAGCCAATGCGTCTTCCTCTCCAATATCGTAGTACGGTCCAAACTCAACCACACTCCCAAAGCACACTTCCCACTCTTCCAACACACCCAACACCTCACCCACCCTCCCCTCCATCTCACTCCCGCTCTCACCATCATCAAGCACGCTCCTCAAACTCCCCTCCAACACCCCCCTCTCCACCAACTCTCCAAACGCCCGCCTAAACTGCCTTATATCCTCACACGCATCCCACAGTCCAACACCAGCATGCATCACAAGGTTACATATCGCCACCACATGTTCAACCGAACACAAATTCTTGAACAACACGCTCAAGCACGAAGCAGCGTGTAATCTCGGTACGAGGTTATGCACGAACAAGTCTCCAACGAGCTTCGCCATGGATAAAGAGGAAAGAACAAAGTCCCTCTCTAACACCTGCTTATCCGAATTTTCGAGCGTAATGGCGTTGGGATGGTCGGGATCCCAAGCTGTCAAGAATTGCCCTACGATCTTTTCACGGAGGTGCCATATGAAACTCTGTGCGCTCTCTGGGCCAAGGGCCGTATAAAACGCCGTGTACACGTCAAACGCGAATTCAGCGAGTGGTTCTTGGCCTTCTTGAAGCTGGTGGTGGTGGTGGTACCCCTTCCACGCGAAATGGTGTGCGAGCTCGATAAAGTCGGATAGGTCCCATGGTGTCGAAAGGGAAATAACGAGCGCGTAGGCGTGTTGTTCCCTATCTTGTGTGCTCACCAGCGGATCGAGGCCAGCTTCGAAAAAGGTGAGCCAGATTGGGGGAGGAGGCGGGAGTGGTTGTTGTTGTGTTGGTTCAAAAATTGAAATGGAGGCTCTTCGCACGGCTTTAGGTACGAAGGGGGCGGCGTCTACGTTTAGCTCGTCTGCGAAGGATAGAGAGCCGCGTGAACGGTGTTTCCAGATGTTGCTTTCGGTGTTTATTTGTGGGAGGAAGGGGAAGCGGAGGGTGCATGGTGTAGGTTCATCTGGGTATTTGAGGGATGTGAATATGATTTTGATTTCGTCGTCTTCGAGGGCGAGGGTTGATGTGCTGCTTGCGGGTGAGTCGAAGGAGATGGAGGGACGGCGTGGGGGTGTGCGGTATCCGTTGAGTTCGCCATGTGGGTTCTGCACTGCAGATGGTTGTGCTAGGGAAGGCTCAAAGAGGCGGCTGAGGTCGGATAATACGAGTTTAGAAGGAGGCATTGTTATGGGCGTTGAATGAAAATAGAGCGCGTGGTATTTATTGACCGGCAGGTGGGTCGCCTTGTCGGGAAGGCAAGAGAGTCAGATAAGACAGACGTATCCATTCGGGTATCGACCCATATACATCTGGAATGTACATAGGTACAAGGTTACCCGCCGCTTGACTTGATGCGGTGTCGGACAATGGACAATAAGCAGAGGACAATGGCGTCTTGTTTCCTGTTACCCACGCCTACTCGCTTCCCTGGTTAGTACGAGGAGGGAATTGTTCAGTGAAGGGACGTACATAACCTTGTATTCATGTAACAATCTTCGCGTCGCAGGACATGTTGTCGTAAATACGAAACTTTTGTGATAATTGTCACCCAGAAATATCTATGTAGATGTTGTTTGGCTATATTTCTAAAAACCTATGTCGGAGATTGTTGAAGTACTTGCCGAGCACCTGCCGTCTGAGCAGTAAGCAAAGTTTTGAAGTGCATTGTCGCGTACTTATCACCTCATCCTTCACCACCATTGTCAATATTGTGCACTCAAAGTCCATCCTTCCAATGTGTAAACAATGTAATACCACTGTGCAGGTCACGCTGGTTGAAAGTCAACCGAGGTTTTTAACCTAACGTACATCACGGCACTGACATCGTTATGATATACTAGGGCTGCGCACCGTACCCGTCCAAGACGGTTGGACGGGACGTTTAGACGGGTGCTCTACCCGTCGCCGTTTCGATTTGGGATAAGATTCTGACGGGACGGATAGCACCCGTCTATTCCCGTCACCTAGACGGCCGTCTGGACGGTACGGACGGCGATGCTGTGGGAAGATTTTCTACCCTGCCAACATCGACGTCAACGACGTAGCCTTCCGTTGAATCCGTTCCCCTCCACCGAAATAGGCGTATTGTCCTTCGTCGACGGCGATTTTGTATGGGAAACTGTGTTAAGCATTACGGGCAAGTCCGGTCCGTGCTTCTCCTCCCTCTCGCAAACTTACCTTGTACTAACGTTGCTGCTACAGATTGCATTTGGCGCTTATGCATCTCAAACACAGGTTTTTCGAGACTGGGGAGAAGGGAATTAACTTGATTGGTGGTCAAAAGGTGCGGTGCCCGTTAAATATGACGAAAGCGGCTCTAACATACTCTTCGCCAGTGCCCCCGTTCAATTCATTAGCCAGGAGTTGCAGTGGACCATGATAGTGAGAGTTCGGCGAGAACGTTAAAACCATCTCGCACACCGCGGATGAGTTTGAGGCATGCTACGTGGAATCCGAGGCCTCCAGACGGTGTGAGTTATGGTCGTGCCGTTGCCTTACCCTCCTGACTTTGCGTTTTTAGGACCTTCGTCTTGCTGCAAGCCGTCATCGATTCATCCTTGGTACTTCATTAACCCTTAGATACAGGCTGTCTATATTCATCACTGATACACAGCCGTTGACACCCGTCACCCGTACGACGGCCGTCTCCGTCCCCGTACCGTCCTCGTCGAGATCCCAAAGGAAACACTGACGGGACGGGGGACGGACGAGACTTACCCGTTTACCACCCGTCCAGTAGACGGCCGTTCCCGTCCAGACGGACGGTGCGCAGCCCTATGATATACCCTTATCTAATCCTGTAAGGTATGTATTTGGCCCAAAAAGCCCAAGAATGACAGTCTGCATTGGATAAGTTTATATGTCAGGGTGACCATTTTTGAAGACTCAATCAATGAAATCCCGATGAAGAATGTCGGATGGCATAATTTGGGTTTTTCCATGCCATTCTTCACCAAAATAGAAATACCCAACTTCGGGTGAAAAACCTTACATAGCAGGGCATCAATGGTGACCTTCACAACCTACAAAATTTTGGCAAGCTATGCTAACAATTGTAAAGTTTGCAGCTGAATGTCAAACAGCATATTTGTGTTTCCCGACAGTAATACCTTACCAAAAGTAAAATCCTCAGCTTCAACTGAAAACCTTTACAAGGGAGGATATGGATTATGACCTTCACAATGAACAGAATTATGAAATGTTTATGCCATGACCAAAATCTTTACAGCTGAATATCATGCAGCATATTCCAGACAAGTCTTCATCAAAATAGAAATACCTAACTTCAGGTGAAAAAGTTTACAGAGCAGGGCAAGAATGATGTTGTTTGACAGCCTGCAAAATTATGGCAAGCTATGCTAACGATCGTAAAGTTTGCAGCTGAAAGTCAATCAGCATATTTGTGGTTCCCGACAGTAATACCTTACCAAAAGTAAAATCCTCAGCTTCAACTGAAAACCTTTACAAGGGAGGATATGGATTATGACCTTCACAATGAACAGTAGTTATGAAATGTTCGTGCCATGACCAAAATCTTTACAGCTGAATATCATGCAGCATATTCCAGACAAGTCTTCATCAAAATAGAAATACCTAACTTCAGGTGAAAAAGTTTACAGAGCAGGGCAAGAATGATGTTGTTTGACAGCCTGCAAAATTATGGCAAGCTATGCTAACGATCGTAAAGTTTGCAGCTGAAAGTCAATCAGCATATTTGTGGCCCCCGAACGATAATACCTTACCAAAAGGTAAATCCCCAGATGCAACTAAAAACATTTACAAGGGAAGATGTGATCTATGATGTTCACAACTGACGTAATTATGAGATGTTCGTGCCATGACCAGAATATCTACGCTAAATATCATACAGCATATTTCAGGTATCTCATGACATTTCTTCACCTATGGAGTAAACCCCTTCATCTGGGAAAGGCATTACAGAGGAAGTCACAGATGGCAGCCAGCGAAATTATGGGAAGCTAAGATGGCTGCCATAGTCTTTGCAGCCAGATGACAAACAGCATATCTGTGGTTATCTATGATAATTCTTTACCAAAAGGGAAATCCCGAATCAAAATTGTGGCACACCAGTATATTCTGGTATACAATCAAGCTTTTAGATGACAATCATTGAGTACAGATTAGAAGAGAAGAATGGTAGACAGGTAGACATGGAGGGGTCACGAAATCATGGGAATCATGGATATGACCATGGAAAACCCGAAAGACAACCTGCTAAGTAGTGGAAATCTCGGCAGCCAGAGCAGCGGCGTCGTTCATGGATCTTGTCCAGTGGGGATCCTTTTGTAACCATACACTTTGCAGATGAATATGTTGGAAAGACTTGTCTACACAGAAAAATGGTGAGATATAGCATTGTGAAAGCGCAAATACTCACCGGTTCCACCAGACATAAAGGTCATGGACCTCTTGAGTTTCATGGGGGTCTTCAAGTAGGTTGAGGATAGAGGTGTAAAACTTCTCAGAGTCGGTAACAGTATCCATGCAGGAAAATATCGGCAAGGAACTGAGGGAAAACCGAACCTGATATCACAGTAAGTCCATTGTCCATTGCAAGAATGGTTGCCCACCTGAGTAGCAATGTATGCAATAGATCCAGCCATAACACATGTCATCCCGTGGAGCCTTGCATTTCCTGATCTAGTGGCCTTAGGCTCCTTGTCAACAGAACTTGGCAATGTGAAGACGTGCTTAAAAGCCTGAGATATTCATGCTAAAATTACTGCGAGTCAAAAGAGTTATCAAAGTTACTCACACAAACCAAGATAATGCTGCAAAGAAGGCCATTCCATGGGTCTTCTGGGTCATATGTATAGCCAGCGTAGAGAAAGATAGGCCACTGGTCACCGCTAATGACCAGTTCTCCACTTCGAAGTTTCTCTTTTGTTCTAGACAAACCATATTAACTACACCTGTGTGTCAGAAGAAAACAACTCACTCCTGGTCAGCCCAATTTAAATTGCTTGGACAGAGATAGTGTTTGAAAGTCCAGTTTGGTCCGGTTTTTTGATGCCCAGGGGCATTAACCGTAACCGTAACCGGTCTGCCTTTTCCCCAGAAGTCAAAAGACCAGACCGGACCACAAAAAGACCACAGACTGCGGTTTTTTGCAGTCTATAGACCGGTTTCGGTCTGCATCGGTTTTAACCGGTTTATGACCGGTCTTTAGGCCAATATTTTGAATTTGTGAATCGGTAAATTTATTAACATCTCTATTAGCTTCAAAACGAGCCCAAGAACGTCAAATTCCGTTAGGAATTGGTGTTTCTATAAAATAAGTCTGGTACATCTATTATTCCCAAAAGTAATTTACATTTTAATTCATATCTCTCTCGTTTTTTTACCACATCGTACGTTCTTGGGTGCGTTTTAAAGGGTATTTAAGGGGTTACAAAAGACCGGTCCAAACCGGTCAAGACCGGTTCACGTTAACCGGTTTTTTTGCGGTCTTTACATCTCAAAAATAAAAGACTGTAAATGCAGGTCCGGTCTTTTGCAGTCTTGGTCCGGTCTTGTTACGGTCTTTTTCCGGTCGTGAGACCGGACTTCCAAACACTAGACAGAGAAGAGATCCTGTACGCTTGTGATTGAAACCGTGATCATGCTTGATATTCCATGATAGGGGTGGTTGGAGTGCTTGACCTTTGGGGGTGATCCAGTCCAGAATGGCACCTTTCAAACTTTTGGTGTCATCGCCGCGAGCTCCAGACATGCCTTTCCGAAGCTGTCCAAATAAAGATGAACAACTCTACAGGCAGGACAAGAAGCGACGTACAAGTTCAGCTATGATCAAGAGTTCCTCATCGGTGCCAGTCAAAAGCCGTTCTTCAAGGCCAGGAACAGATTGTAGGAGGGTCAGATAGACCTTATGCTCCCGCCTTTCCCTGGTCAATATTCAGTCGCGGATGCCGAAAAGAGTGGAGGGGGACAAGATCTACTCAGCGGTAAAAGATTCATCTGTCCTATCAGCCAGCTCAACCATACACAAGACTCCATTGGTTAACAAGGCATGGATATTGCATAAAGCTTGAACTCTGCGTCCAAAATGCCGACCATAGTGTACCAAAGGATCAGCGACAGAGCTGAAGGCATTAAGTAGCAACTTCAGCAAGAGACTCAGATCAACAAGATTTCGATTCTCACAGTTTCTTTTGAGGGCCCAACTCAAGGGCATTTTGGTGTTGAATGTTGGTCGACGTCGTGTCCTGAGACATGAGGAATAAACATTTAAACCATGGTGGCCCACGCCGCTATATATATGGTCGGAAGAGTGAGTACTAGTGAGTCGCTGGAAGTGATGGGGGTATCATGTGATACTAAAGGTTCATTGCAGTGTGACCACTGTCTGTAAGTGTGTATACTATATGTACCATAGCGTTGTCGCAATTTATGTAAACGATAAGAATAAACACTTCTACGCTGCTTCAAGTTGCCAATGTTGTATTGTTCACACACCTCAATAATGTTCTCCCTGCCAGTGTACTTTTCCTGATGTCTGATTAGACTTACTGTAGACTTACAATATATATGAAGCCATCCCAATATATTAGTTCAGGCATGCTACTTGGTTATCCCTAATATCTATTATCCTAGCCCTATTAATATTATCCAAGTGACCAGCTTGAAGGGTTTGCGAGTATCACGTGATACTGCGCCGAGCTGAGTTTATGTATGTCCCAACAAAGCTCAAGCGCTCAAGCTCCAAGGCTTGTCGATCTGGTTATAATAATTATATATAATACTCTAATTAACTGAGGGTTGAACACCTTGCTTGAAAAAGAAAATTACTATCTGCCTCTCAACTTCATGTCTGCCACTCACCTGAACCCTCGACCACTGAGCATGGGAAGTAATACGGCATCTACGATGACATTTTGGTGATGTTGCAGCATTGATCTTACTGGCACCTGTGGCATCGGCTTAGTGTTGCCGTGGCTCCGGCTCAGAGCCAGCTGAAGCCAGGAGCCGAGCTGAGTTTAGCCGAAGCCCAGCCAGAACTGTTGAGTGATGACTCCGACGGCTCGGCTAATTTCGGCTCTGGCTAAGAAGCCAGCTTGAGCTGACTAAGCCAGTTATAAATAGTGATTGTCTTGCAATAAGGTCAAGAATATACATTGCCATCAATATAGGCGTAAAACATACATAAAGAGTCTCTAAACATATCTAAGGTATCTTATCCCTGGGTAACTATAAGTTCATTGGTGGTGATTTGGACATCAACCTTTCTCAAAAGCTTTGTTGATTTCAAATGAGAGCAGCCGCATATATCTTCGCCAAAAACCTTGATCCTAAACTGTGACCCCTTATGTGGGCCATCAAACACGGTAACAACTTGGGCTTTGCACTCCAGCCTTTCAGGTATCAAGTACGGAAACGGCACTTCCACCACTGTGAAACCGAGTTGGACCTTAACCACATCTCCGACCACTCCCTTGAACTCCCCGCACATATTTTCGTACTTGCCATCATGGAAATTAGAGCAGGAGTTGATGAGACGAAGGCTCAGTCTCATGGTGGCAAAGCGGTTATCTCTAAGCCAATATGGAGGGGCTGCCATAATTGCGTCAGTATATATATTGACTCTGAATCAAAAATATAATTGCCATAATTGCCACGGAGAGGGGTATCTGAGCTTGGGTTCCAAGCTGGGCTCGTCAGGATATCTTGTGAGTTAGGAAGCGGAGTAGACGGCCCCGCAATGGTTGGAGTCTGCACGAGGGCAGCAGGATATGCGGCTGAGGGTTGCGGATCCGGCAAGGGCAGACCAGGGAACAAAAAGCTTGCCAAAGTACCAGGCAGAGGCGCTGGTTCAAGTGGGTAAGAGAAATCGGTCAGAAGCTCTTGAGGCCTTGGGGGCTGAAGCCTTTCGTCAGCACTGGAAGCTAATTAGCATCGATTTCAGAAAGAAAAAAAAGCAAAAGGGCTTGCATGATGTGTAGCACAGAGATGTCCAAAATTTGTGGGCGTTGGAGGAGCGCCTCGAGTTCAACCAAAAGCCTTTTCTCACCAACTGTGCTTTTTATTCTGCCTTGGTAAGTTCTAAAATTGCCTTGGGTTACCATTACGCGTTTTCCTACAAGATGACTGTTTGAGTCCCCCTTCATGACTCGCTTTTGTGCAGCTGTCAAGGACTCCGGGGATTCCGTTGCGAAGACAAAGGGGGAGCTGAAGAACTCGACATTCCCAGGGGATACCTCTACCTAAAAGATGACAGATTGTCAGAGTATGTATTGTAAAAACGAAACATTTACCTCTGTTCCGGTCCTGTCATTGAAGACACACACATAGTCATCGTCTTGATTTACTACCCAGCCCGTAACACCTTGGTGGTCTCCCGAAAGAATGCGCACTTCGTCCCCTACTTTAAGATGTTTTCGAAGCGACGAAAAGGGTACGGTAATTGTCACATCATGCGTTGTCAAAAACACAACAGCCTCATTGTCTTTAATGTCAACAATCGTTCCAAAAGCTGCCCTCAAATCTCCGTCAGTAATTTTCACTCCATCGCCTATCTGAAGAATCCTGGCTGACATTCTCGCCATTGTGTGCTGTCGGACGTTGAGAGGGATGTCTGAACAGGCGCTAAACAGATCGAATTCTTTTGGTGATGGTACCACATCTTCAGCGGTATACCAATCAGTGTCGAGGTCCAGGAAGTACGCATATCCATTGCCATCGTAAAGAACTCCTCAGAATAATGATAAGTTGTTTCGTGTTTGGAATGCCCGACGAAACCGTTGCTTGGCCAGTGTTGGATTGAACAGGGCTTGGGGAGGTCGCCCTGGTGCTGAAGCTCTTCAGTTTAGCTCGCATTCAGGTTTGTAGAACACTGCGAACTCGTCGTCCGTCTCATCGTTTCGGTCCTCATGTGCGATCAGCCGGCTTCCTTTGACTTTGGTGGAAGGTGGGTCATAGGTCACGCATGGTACCACGAGGACATTGATGAGTAAGGATGTGACCTCCCGAATGAAGGCAATATCTCCTTTGTAGATGCCGCGGTGCAGCCTCACCCAGGAATGACGCTTTGGTTGAAAGGTGTTGGGAAGAGTGAAGATGGAGGGGTTAGGATCCAGGATGTTGAAAGTCTTTGAGGCCAGCACATTTGATATGTCGTTACAGACTTCGCGAATCATTTCTTTAGAACCACCTTCGAAAAAGACTCTGCCGGGTAGTGCTTTCCAACCAAAGACCGCTGGGGGTCGTAAGTGTGCAGAAAACCTCTCGTCCATGAGGCGCCGATGGATTCGAAAGACTATCTGCTCCTCATAACCAGGCTAAGTATAAAAGTTATTACAAAAATAACCCGAAGATGGGGTTACTTTTACCTTGACGACCACCGCCCATAAAGACACCTTTCCGATATCTTGGACATCTTCCCCAATATCTTGATGAGACGTGACGCGCTCGAGAAAGCTTTCCCAAAAGGCGTCGTCATCAGACGGCATCAACGCTTCACGGAGAAGGTTTCGGTGCGCATCTCCCAAAATCGACTTGTCAATGTCTTCATCGTCGTCGATAAGATCGTCTTTGAAAGAATTAGCACTGTACCAACTACAATTACAATCTATAATACACACCTTCATCGCCGTCATTCTGATCGTCGGTCTCAGCCTCTGATACTTCAGCTTCGAGATCTAGGAATCCAAGGACTTCTGGCGACTATAGCATGATTAGCTTGATACAAAATCTCACAAAAATGAAAAGAACTTGCCTCAAGTTTTCTACGTTTCATTGGTCTCTCATTGTGTTTTGATGCCATGATTTCATATTTACTAGCTATGCACAACATTTCTATCCGTTAGAGTCTACAATCTACAAGTATGGTGCACGGAAAGAGGAAAGAAGCCTGACAATGGTTTGCAGGCTGTTTAGCTTGATTGACTTTAGGGCCAGTCCACATGTATCACATCAGCATTGTCACGGGTAACCCCGAGGTACTGCCTTCAACATACGCTGTCGAAACGGCATTGGTGGGCCGGTGACGTGGGTCATCATCATCATTAGTGTGTGCCATGGGTCGTTGGTAACATCAGTGATGTTGCGGTGGTGGACGACGACGAATCCGTCGTCATTCTTCGCGTACTGCATTCGACTTGGTATTTTACTTTGTATTTATTCGTAAAGTATATATTCTACATGTAGGTAAATAGAGGGAGGGGTAACTATGAAGGTAAATACGAGGGGGGTAATACGGAGGGGTGGGTAACTACGGAAGGGTGGGTAACTACGGAAGGGGGGGTAACTACAGAGGCATTACTACGGCAGATAAATGGCAGAGGAGGAATAGGGGTGGGGGAGTGGAGAAAGAAGGAAAGGAGATACGAAATACGTTCCAGTGCTATATATCATAGGCACTTTAGGGTCGCTTTTGATTTAGGGC